GATTGACTGGGAAGAGCAATATTGAAGGTCTTTCTCACAAACTCGTATGCCTTAGCAGAATAAAACTGCAGAGTGAGTGCAAAGGACTCCATTTATGGTGTGTATTTGGATCTTTTTCCTGACTTTTTTGCTGAAACTCTTTTCATCAATGCCAACAGTTCTCCACCGAAACTCTGACTCAACATTTCCTCACATTTCATCATTCGTCTGATGTCAAAATTAGACCATTATGGTATTAGAGGACTTTCTGCCAATTGGATCAAGGCTTTTCTTTCCAACCGCTCTCAAGTTGTCTCAGTTAATGGCTCCCACTCTCACCCTGTCATATCTGGAGTACCTCAAGGAACAATTCTCGCACCTGTCTTATTTCTTCTCTATATAAACGATATTTCTGAGAATATTAAATCCCAAATTCGCTTGTTTGCTGACGATGGAATCATTTATAGAGAAATTAATAACGATCAGGACCATGTCACGTTACAAGAGGATTTAGACAATCTAAATAATTGGGCTAACAAGTGGCAACTAAATTTCAATTTCTCAAAATGCTACCACCTAGGAATTACAAACAAACGTGTCCCTGAAACATATAGTTATGTGATGAATAATCAAACAATTAGCAGAGTATCTTCTACCAAATACCTGGGCATTACTATAAACCACAACTTGAACTGGAACAAACATTGTGACATCATATGTAGTAAAGCAAATAGCATTCTTGGCTTACTTAGAAGAATCCTTGGTGAATGTAGCGCTGCTGTTAAATCAAGAGCGTATACTAGTCTTGTCCGTCCACAACTTGAGTATGCTTCTACAGTCTGGAACCCTTACACCAAGAGGAACATCAACAAGATCGAGATGGTTCAACACAGAGCTGCTAGATTTGTCTTCAATGACTATTCCAGAGCTAGCCACATCTCTCCAATGATCGACCACCTGGGGTGGGACAATCTCCAACAACGGCGACTGCTACACCAAGCCACCATGTTCTACAAGATCCATCAAGGCCTTCTTGGAATCAGTCTTCCTGATGACGTGTGTCCTTTGACTAGAGCATCCAGGCTACCTAATATCTGTCCTTACCGCCAAATTCAGTCATGTGTCAATGTCTATAAGTTTTCATTTTATCCAAGAACAATCGTTACCTGGAATCACATTGTTATGGTGCGTTATTTATGCGTCAAATATATTTTCCAATTAGGTATATTTTCAACCTTTAGGCTTCGGGTTCAAATTATATTAACGCCACCGTAACACAAATAGCATGAAACCTTATACCTTTTATATATTTTATTTACTTTCAACAATATGAATTAGCGTCTCTATGTTATAATAATATAGTAATCTTAATATATCAACTTATCTCTCTATTTGTTTGAGCTGAGCACAACTTTGAATCTTTATTCTTTATACTTTGTATTCCGTCTTCTTTAATAATAATTATTCCACAATATTCCAATGTTCTTCAGTTTACTTGACGAGGCTTAATTATCTAGCCTTTTAATTATATACTTCAGCCTTTGTTGGCTTATGAAGTATTTTAGCCTAAATGGCTCTTCTCACTTCACTCTCCGCCCTCTGGGCTCTCAGGTTGTGCTCAGCTTTTATAATAAATTTTAGAGGAAGAAATCTGTAACTATGACTAATTTCCTCTACGCAATATGTTTGTCAAAGCAAGTTCTTGCAGTGTTTATCAACCACAAAACTATGTCCTGTTTGCGTGGTTTGTGGTACTAGGCGTTTCCCGTGGTTCTTTAATCTCTCTAAATATTTGCTTATTCATGCGAGGAAGGTTGCCTAAGGTCTTCCTCTTATAATTATAACAGTATACTGAATATATAGTATTGAATATATTAAATAACATGGTATAGCACTGCCATGTTACACCCTCCCCCTTAAAGGAAAGAAAGTTTGTAGTTTTGTCTTGAAAGTTCTCATTAGTAACGTTATTCAGAATTCATGTCAGTTTATATAGACGTGTCCAATTATAAATCCAGTTATCACCATAACTTGCGTAATCCAGAGTCAGAGAATATCCAGTTACATTCAGCATCTCGATCTTGTAATATATTGAACTCTTAATAAAATCTTGATAATAGCTTCGAATTATATCATCAACATAATTAAAGCTGTAATGTCTGTAAAATGTTCCGTCTTGATCTTGTAAAATATCCATATGTATCAATTCATGACCATTAATTTGTAATCCATTGACAATGTGACCTTTCAAGTGACGCATTCACGCAAATGCCAAATGCTTATACCAGATGTGTTGCGCTCAAGACAGACTAAATATGTTTACTGCTATACTTTTTCGTTTAGTATTTTTATTCATTTAAATTTTTAACTTACGATTACAATTCCAAATGCTCAGATTTACTTAAAATTTTACCGCTTGACTTTACTTATATTTTGCTTAATCTTTAATTTTACTTATTTGCTTATAATCCTCTACTTTAAAATAACTTTAATAACATACACAATTTTAATTCATATTTACCGTATATTTACCGCTTTATTTAATTCAGATCAATTAAGGTATCTGGTTTCACACTTAACACTATGACGCATGCAGAATGTATTCCTCAAATTCCGCTTAATATCTTATCAATGAAATGACTTTCCAATTTTTATTTGTTTTAACTTGAAATGCTAATTTTCTTTTGGAGCATGCAACTGTTTAGACTGGTTTTACTGTTTCCCGCCTGAGCCCCCAACTGTTATGGTGCGTTATTTATGCGTCAAATATATTTTCCAATTAGGTATATTTTCAACCTTTAGGCTTCGGGTTCAAATTATATTAACGCTACCGTAACACAAATAGCATGAAACCTTATACCTTTTATATATTTTATTTACTTTCAACAATATGAATTAGCGTCTCTATAATGTTATAATAATATAGTAATCTTAATATATCAACTTATCTCTCTATTTGTTTGAGCTGAGCACAACTTTGAATCTTTATTCTTTATACTTTGTATTCCGTCTTCTTTAATAATAATAATTATTCCACAATATTCCAATGTTCTTCAGTTTACTTGACGAGGCTTAATTATCTAGCCTTTTAATTATATACTTCAGCCTTTGTTGGCTTATGAAGTATTTTAGCCTAAATGGCTCTTCTCACTTCACTCTCCCCTCCCGACTCTCAGGTTGTGCCCAGCTTTTATAATAAATTTTAGAGGAAGAAATCTGTAACTATGACTAATTTTCTCTACGCAATATGTTTGTCAAAGCAAGTTCTAGCAGTGTTTATCAACCACAAAACTATGTCCTGTTTGCGTGGTTTGTGGTACTAGGCGTTTCCCGTGGTTCTTTAATCTCTCTAAATATTTGCTTATTCATGCGAGGAAGGTTGCCTAAGGTCTTCCTCTTATAATTATAACAGTATACTGAATATATAGTATTGAATATAGTATTGAATATATTAAATAACATGGTATAACACTGCCATGTTACATTTAAAAATCTGTATACACGGTAACTTTTCAGCAATATATACGTACATATAATTTATATAAGTAAACATGCAATAATAAATTAAGAAGAAAAAAAAAATAAATAGATAAAATGCTGCTTTTCAAAAGGCCGTGTGATTACGCTAAAATTACAATTTTTGAATATCAATACAATACAGGACAATATACATAATTACACGTCTAATACATTTAATACGCCATAACCTACTATATATCAAATCATTGAATCAAGTTAATTTCTTTCTTTCTGAAATGCTCTGTGAGTTCCAGATGTTGGCGGCGGCATAACTGAACGACTTTTTCATTGCATTAGTTTTTGGTTTAGCCAACCTCAGCATTAAGTTGTTACTTCTTAAATTATGGTTATCACTGCAGGAAAACTGATACATTTCAGTTATTCCCTCCGGGCAATTTTTCTCAGGAGAGCATTATTAACAAAAGAAATAGTTTGAGAATTACGCCTTTCTTCGAGATTATTCCAGCCTAATTTAGAGAGAACATCTTTTGAAGTCATCCAAAATTAAGTCTTAAAGTCATCCAAAGAACATCTTTTGAAGTAATCCAAAATTAAGTCTTAAAGTCATCCAAAATTAAGGGAATCTTAAAGTCATTCAAAATTAAGGGAGTCTTAAAGTCATCCAAAATTAAGGGAGTCTTAAAGTCATCCAAACTTAAGGGAGTCTTAAAGTCATCCAAAATTAAGGGAGTCTTAAAGTCATCCAAAATTAACTAGTGTATATTGATTAGATAGCAACACAACTGAGCTGTGGAACCAAATTATAATGTATCACTACTTTCATTCTTCAACAAGACAACTTCAAGATTTAAGATGGCAAAACTAAATCAGTTTTACGAAATACTGCGTCGTTTTCGAAAATAACCAGGCTATATAAAGTAGACCAGGTTGAGGAAAAATTAGTTTGTTTGAAAGCTTAGAGGAAGAAGAGCAGAATTGATATTACAAATACTAGACAAACGATCATCGAATTAACAAGATAGAATGTCTCGTGACTCGTATTAAAATCAGTGGCAACCTAGACTTGGCGATTAGGCTACGCGCGCGTTATTTTCCTTCCCGACAAACTATGGCCCATCCAGTCATCGTTTTGCAGTCAGTGGAAACCTGCGATCAGGCTGCATGCTTACCTAATGGTAGCCTTGCTCGATTCACAATGGGCATAATCTTGATATTCTTGGAGACGAAACAGTTCCATGGTTCGTGTTTGAACAGTCTGTCGCATTCTTCCAGTCCCATTTTTGCGCCCGCCATCACACTCTTGGAGTACTTCATGTAATCCTAAATAAAAATACCATTGTTAGAGTACCGATACCAATCTATTTGGAAAATCTTTCGGAATATTTCTTCATTTTCTGCTATTACATTTTAAAATTTATTTCCCCATCTTTTTGCCCAACTTACGTTTATAATTTGCCCGACTTCATTTTCACTGTGGGCAGCACCCCCATCGTAGACCCAGGAAATTTTCAACTAGGAAACTTTTCAACTACTGATGGTAGTCATCTTTAGAAATATTAACACTATTATAGGACTAATAGGAGCAAAAATGAAATCTGTTCATAATTATATATAGTGGGAAAATTAATCAACATTATTGTCTCACATCACATCACTTGACAGAATTGTATGAAATTACATTTTTTATCACGAACAGATTGTTATGATTATTCCCACTTTTCATTGACTGCTTAGCAATGGCGGGATTCATTACAATATCATCCTCAACAATGCCTTGCCTACGGCTGCTTTTAATACGCTAATAACGCCTCTATCAATAATGTCGGCCTTACGAACTGTCAAACGAAACTGTAATTTATCCTTGACACTTTCTACACTTTAGATAAAGCTATTTCTTTTAATAATATGAACGGAAATATAGTAGGAACTCGATGATTTTATTGCCAATATGCTCGTTTGTATCCTCTATTATCATTATATAGGAGGGCCACGTAATGTTTAATAAACGAGTAGGAGTGTTTTATCAGGAGTGTTTTATCACATATAAAACACGACGCGTAACGGAGTGTTTTATATGTGTTAAAACACGAACTACGAGTTTATTAAACAGCTTCAAAAACGTCTCAGTTAGATCACGGCATTGGCGAAATAATTTTCCAAAATAACTTTGTATTAGCTGAGAAAATACAAGTTGAAATTTGAAGCGTGTTTTATCTCGTATAAAGCCACGCTTAAGATTTCTCTTTGTGTTTTCCTCATGAATTATTAATGAGTTCTTGAATCATAGTTTATCAGTTTTACTTATATTACTGTCAAACTGTTATCCTCTTTAAATGAAGTCGCAAACCAAACCAAAATTGTTAATCAATGAATAAAGTCTTTCACAGTTAAAAAAAAAGAGATACACTGGTTTATACACTATCAAAGTTTCTGTGATCACAGTAGGAATTTTGCATTGGTAAATTCTAAGTTTTGAAGGATTTGTAAGAAATGTTTGAAGAAACTGACTCACCGTTTAACACTAATTCAGTTTCCTCAAACATTTCTTACAAATCCTCCAAAACTCAGAATTTACCAATGCAAAATTCCTACTGTGATCACAGAAACTTTGATAGTGTAAACCAGACTGTAGTCGCATGAATTATATTTAGCCTTTAGGAATTAGGAATGTTGTATATTTTGACTATGTTAGTCAAGTCTGGATGGAATTAACTTCAATGCAATCACGCTGTGTCTTAAAGTTACTATGACATACAAGACATTTATATATAGTCCTGCAAACCTTCTGCACTGTTTGGATTTAAAATTGCTTGCTGTGCGCGCGACTCTTATAAATCATCAGCATGTCAAATGAAAGGAATAAGGTGAAACTATTTGCACGACCATACAAACAGGATTCCTCAACACAAGAGTTCAGTTACGAAATTCTGCAATCACGAAATTCTTTCTAAATTGATCCTTTAAAAGCCATGCGAAGGACAGAGCTTCATAGATGTATGATTCAAACAGACTTTCACAACGTGAAATAAAATGCCTGCATTTATATTAGAGTGTCATCCTGTTACCTAACAAAATTTGTCAGCATGAATGTAGTTTAAAATAACATGAAATTAATCAAGGAAATTGAATGAAAACATCACATCAAGCCCATGTCACGCGAGCCAGCAATGTTTCTCATGGAATTTGCACAACAATCTTTTCATACAAAGCATAATTCTCTCTCTAACTGTAAATTGCATGAAACTCTCCCCATTCCCTACTGAGTGTTTCCTTAATATCCCATCACTAAAAAAATTAACATGCTCCGAAATTTCGCTCAACTATATCATATCATTATGCGTTAACATATATCCTAGTGTGTTTACTTAACCAGTTTGGTGTAAAATGTCCCCATTTCCTGTGTGCCAAGAAAATTAGGAAAAGCTCGGATTTGAAATAACAAAATCTTAAAAAAATAGCATTAGCATGCTTTTGTTTTCGTGCTCCATATATAAGATGTAATACCCCAGCTCTAGGCTACAATATAATAATCAACGCCTCAATCTTTCTCACGAAGGCCAAAATACGCCATTTTGGGGGCACTGTCTGCCCTCGTGAAAGATTTTAGACAATTCAAGCAACGTGAAAAGCGATTTTTAAAAGTTGTAACTGTAAATACTATAAAGTCACATTTCGTAGTGCGGTGGGAGAGGCAGTACCCCCAACATGGCGGAAAAATCGGTGTCTGCATGATTTAATGAAACTCACGAAATCGTAAAATAGAATTTCCTTTATATGAATTAGGATTAAGTTGTAGCTTCGGGGGTGCAGCTGGTCTTGATTTGCTCGAAAATTGTATAGGATCTTCCGCAAGAAATTAAGAAAAACCTTTCGAGTCGGACTTGCGTCGCCCCCTTCTGCTTGGGACATTTAGCAGGCGTGCGCTGCTATCATCTTGTGAAATAGATATCTAAATGTGTCAGAATATTAACTCTTACAGATACTTGAAAGTTTCAACACTCAGTATCGGAATATTCCTGATATCTTTATTTGCCGCACTGTTTGTCATAAACATGACAAAACTATATACTTAAAGTGACGCATGATAACCCGATTGAATTGAAGAATTCTTCCCGAAATTTCCAAAATCTTTCCGTCAGAATTTCATCGTCATTGAGTCTGTCGGAAAGTTATGTTGTATTTTTGCAATTACAAGTGATAAAAACTACCGATAAGCTTGTTTTCCCACAAAGCGGCTTGTTTCGGCACTATTATTAGCTTCTCGTTTTGCCTTTGGACATGTACTCATTAATATACCAACACATTTGAGTGCATGATAAGACATTACTGTCAGAGTAGATAAGCAGAGGATTGATAAGGACAGAACGACGTGGAAAGTAGAGAGAACAATTTTGAAACTTATAGAGCTATCCAGTGTAAATAAAGTTATTCGACCTATGTTGAGGATTACTTGTTTGAAAACCTAATTGCTACATTAAGAAATTTGTTTGTTCTACATTAACGGAAGCGTCGTCTTGACACACCAATATTTTCTGAAACCCGTGTGGCAGGGAAAATAAAAGTCAAAATTATATTACTTCCTGTTCTAAGAGTTGCAGTCTAAGCTCGTTTCATTTCCTTGAGTTACTTTGACTAAAATTACCGTGAGACCTGCTTCAATTATGCATCCGGCCCGGAATTTTGTTCCTTGATATTTGGTTTAGCGGTTAACTTGAATAATATAAAGAGTTTCGAAGTAGATAGTTGGAATGCGTGGGTCCCAAACTCGCTATAGAAACCACTTCGAGCTGTCATGCAATTCATTGTCGGCAAATATGGAGTCGAGAATGCAAAGGAAACCAAGTATATTTGATGAGTTGTTTTAAACCAAATCCTGTCACGAGAAAATGTTCTCAGCGTATTCAATGCCTTGTTGGGGAACATTCTTGCGCGAAAGCAAAGTATCCTAGCTATTAAGTAACTAGTAGCAACTCTGATTTTGTTAGATTTAACCCTATATTTGGTGATTTCAGCCCTTTTTGACGATATAAATATAGGTTTAGTTACTATATAGGTTAGTACTTAACCTAAATATATTACTTAACCTAAATTTAAGTAATAAATATATGTGGCAAAAATAATTTCACTGGGAAAATAATTTCCAATAATAAGTCGCCTCGTTTGTAATTACATTTGGTTAACGTATATAGCTCTCTGTTCTAGCTTGATAAGAACTGTCGCAACTTGTTGCAATTTTGAACGAAATTACAAAGAACTGCTACAAATTTAATTTGCTACAAATTAATGAAAATTTCGCATAATTGGTTCTAATTTTTACAAATTATAAAATCAACATTCGATAAAATTGCTACGGGATCAAACACGAAGGAAATCATGGCAAATTGCCACGAGCATGTAATGTCTTGAAATGCCGGTTTCCTTAGAGCAATTAAGCAGAATTTTTCCAAAAAGAATGAGCACTTTTTCCTAATGAGAATAAAATAGCGTTTGTGTTAAGGAATTTCTTAATTAGTGCAACAATGCTTTGCGGCAGATTATTTCTCTTAGGCTAAAACAAATGATCTCAAAGCAGTTCATTTTTAGTTTGGCTTTCTTCCATCTAACGCTTAATCAGAACGAATCTTTGCTTTTATCTCCAAACTCCTGAATAGGTCGACAGCATTCAACACGTAATAAAAAAACACCAGACTTCAACAATTTAGACCATCGCAAGTTTGTTATTAGCATTTGTTGACATTTGCTGTTCATAAAAAGAAAATTTCGATGATGTCAAAATGATGTTCAATGAATGATCGCACAGCAGAGCACAGTTTCCTACAGAGTACAGTGAATACCTGTTGCTTGGCACGAGATACTTAAACACTCGCACAGGTTGGTATAAAACTGGAAATCGCTGCTCAGCTTGTAGCATACCGTGCATAACTGTTTCATTATGTGTGTAGGGCCCATTTGTCGTAACTAAGTGTCTAAGTTGAACCACTTGTGTCAGTAAATGGACACTTTATCGATATGACAGCGGGAAAATATTTATCACTTTATCTAGTATGTAAAATCAAATTTATACTGGGTTCCATCAGTTCTAAACTGTTCTTCCTACAGTTCCAGAGTTCCATCTCTTATTCATCAATGTGTTAGGAGAACACCTAAACTAGTCTGACTTTATTTCAACTGGATAGCTCTATCAATTCTGAACTGTTCTCCTATAGAGTTCGTCTAGCGATCTGGTATGAATAGCATTTAAAATAACATGAACTTCGTGAAGTGATATATGGCATGCACAATGTAGGCAGTACATTAACAATCATAATTATGTGTCATCTCAAAACCAACACTCTAAGCTAATATCGGTTATAGCGGGAATGCGGAAAGCATGAATTTCTATATACCATTAAATTAAACACACCCAATTCACACCTGACATGTCAGAATCTTTCCTGCAGAAACTCTTAACTAACTTACGATTATAATTACGAAGTAATTGCTAATGAATATATCACCCTAAATCCTAACATAATTTTGAGATTACAGTAACCCACACAAGAGAATTTAAAATCTGAATTGTGAAAATTCTTACTTAATTTAGCTCACACAATTAACGAGCTTGTTGCTATATTAATGATATTGCCCCTGTAATTTTGATATTGCAGTAAAGAACGCAAACTGATTTTAATTATTTTTAAATAATTATATTATACATATGACATCTTGTTTTAATTTATAAACATTCCACGCTGATCAGAAACGTATCGCTGTATTTATTTTGATGAACTGTAAAATGTAGTTATGGCTAAAAATATCAACACTTGTCCTCGTTAATGACCCAGTGCCCACTTGTCTTTTGACGCAATAACGATAAGCATGTGACGCTCTCTATATCAACGTTTCTGTGATCACAGTAGGAATTTTGCATGGGTAAATTGTAAGTTTTGAAGGATTTGTAAGAAATGTTTGAGGAAATGACTTAGAGTTAAACACCGATTCAGTTTCCTCAAACATTTCTTACAAATCCTTCAAAACTTTACCAATGCAAAATTCCTACTGCAATCACAGAAACTTTGATAGTGTATAAACCAGTGTCTCTGTTTTTTTAAACTGTGAAAGATTTTATTCATTTAAAGAGGGTAATACTTTGACAGTAATATAAGTAAAACTGATAAACTAGTATGGAAAGAAAGCGATCGCTATGTCGCATGTGCCGTGCACACCAGAACATTTTGGTGCACAATTTTCATTTCAGTTATTTTTAGTTCCGTTCAACATTTCTAATATAGTGGACAGCACATGCGTCTGTTATTGAAATATGTGCTCACTAATGCATGGGTTTGGTGCACAATTGCTGCATATATGAACAATTGTGTGTTTCATTGTCCGGTGCACAGAAAATTTACATCCCATTCTGGTTTACCACCGAGTCAGTTTCCTCAAACATTTCTTACAAATCCGAGTTTATAACTTAGAATTTACCTGTGTAAAATTCTTATTGTGATCACAGAAACTTTGATAGTGTGATCCAGCCTTTAGGCTGTATCAGTGTGAGGCTAAGAAATTCAGGCAATAATAATTGCTATGATACTCGTATTATCTTGTCATTGAGGTCACACAGATAAATGTAATTTATAACACACTGGTTTTGCTTAGACGTTTCAGTAGCTTTCTGAGTAAATTTGACAAGCACGTACACACAGGACTCAGATTCAAAAAATTGAGGCAGTGTGGTTTTCATTCGGCGTAGTAATGCGTGACAAGTATTAGGTTTCACAAAGCACTATCATGCGATCAAGCTGCAATTATCAGAGTGAGAAAAATTTTAGGGCATTGCATAATGCTGAAAAGCACAGAAAATAATTTATGAGGAAGACTATTAATGAGCTTGGCAGAAAACTTTGACTCCAAAACTTAGGATCCCAGAAACAAAATTATTGATTTCCTGTTTGTGATGTTTCTGTGAGCGTGCATACCAAGTTTGCCTGACCACTACACCAACACACACAAAAATCATATATATAATTTCCTGCAACGCTCAAGACGGTAGTTTTGCACTCGTTTCTCATGAATGGTGGAAGAATGCGATTTCCACCGGATTCGAAGAATGCGATTTCACCCAAACGAAGTTAAAAGTTTCAAATGTTCACTGGTTAAAAATATTTATTTGGACGAGCTTTCGACTTGCCAGTCTGCAGTCTTCGACGGGTAGATTAAAGCGAAGACTGCAGACTGGCAGTCAAAAACTCGTCCAAATAAATATTTTTAACCAGTGAACGTTTGAAAAACGAAGTTTATAGTCTGTTATAGTGTTAGTCTTGGTGTCCATTCAAAAAGAGCTCAAATTTGCGCTTGTGGTGCACTTCTTTAAGTTAAGCCGCAACGTGTTGTTTTGCGCAACGTGTTGTTTTGCGCAGCGCACTGTTTATAGTACGATGTCTGGTTTTTAATCGGATCGTCTTTGGTCGTTTTTTAAGGCCTAATGCTTCTTGGAATGGGGAAACATAAATAGATATACCATATGTTCCCTCAATATCTGCCTTTTGCTTTTCATGGAGCTTCATCTCACTGTTGGCAAAGGTAACACAATTTCAAGTGCTAAACATAATCCTTCCGTTTCAAAATTCCATTTAAAACCTTTTAAAATAATGCCGACTAATATACTTATAACAATATACCCTGATTCATCAATATCTTCTAATGCCACTGACCTGATTTTGTAACTGGAGTGTTTCCCTGTGAAAGAAAGTAAAAAATGAATTTATTTCTCTGTTGGATGTGAGACGAGTGCTTCCTATTTGACTCTACCAAACACCACAGATTTCCAATTTCCTACTGTGGTAACACTGGATCAATAAGAGATGATCCTTACTGGACCTCTAAGGAGAACAGTTTAGAACTAATAGAGGTATCCAGTATAAATAAAGTTAGTTTAGGTTTCCTCCTGTAGTAACACTGGATCAATAAGAGATGATCCTTACTGGACCTCTAGGAAGAACAGTTTAGAACTGATAGATCTATCCAGTATAAATAAAATTAGTTTAGGTTTCCTCCTGTAGTAACACTGGATCAATAAGAGATGATCCTTACTGGACCTCTAGGAAGAACAGTTTAGAACTGATAGAGTTATCCAGTATAAATAAAGTTAGTTTAGTTTAGGTTTCCTCCTGTAGTAACACTGGATCAATAAGAGATATCCTTACTGGACCTCTAGGGAGAACAGTTTAGAACTGATAGAGCTATCCAGTATAAATAAAATTAGTTTAGTTTAGTTTAGGTTTCCTTCTGTTGTAACACTGGATCAATAAGATAGGATCCTTACTGGACCTCTAGGAAGAACAGTTTAGAACTGATAGAGCTATCCAGTATAAATAAAGTTAGTTTAGTTTAGGTTTTCTCCTGTAGTAACACTGGATCAATAAGAGATGACTCTTACTGAACTGACAGAGCTATCTCTTAGTAACTCTTACCTTGCATAAACGTTTGTTGATAAGAATATTAAACACATCGCAACATTTATCAAATACGCCATCTTGTTTACCACTGTAAAAAATAAAAATGAACATATGTATTTAATAACGGATTGTAAACATATTAACGGGGGTTAAGGTGAGGGTTAAGATATAATGTGAAAAACATGGAAATCAGTTTTGCTCAGTGTCTATATAGATAACAGCGATGAATGTGCAGCCATATATGGGCATTGTGAAATATTCGTAAGCTAATGAATAATATGTGAAGAAACAAATTGCCATCTTGTAATTCAAGATTTCAAGACGATTTTTTGAGACTGAATATCCCACTATAGTTCCACTATCAAAGTTTCTGTGATCACAGTAGGAATTTTGCTTCGGTAAATTCCAATTTTTGAAGGATTTGTCAGAAATGTTTGAGGGAGCTGAATACTAAGTCAGTTTCCTCAAATATTTTTTACAAATCCTTCAAAACTTATAATTTACCTACTTGCAAAATTCCTACTGTGATCACAGAAACTTTGATAGTGTCAACCAGTCTTTACGATCGAAAGTATACACTCTCAGAATGTCGTCTTGGTTTAAATGAAATCGATGAAATTATCTTCGCTATGTATGTTTTTTTTCTGAAATGTCGTCTGCATGTCTAATGAATAGTTTCTCAGTTGTAAAGACCTAAGGCTTCAAGTGGTTTATTAAGCACATTTTCAGTTACAGTTTTCATGACAACAGAGAGACACTTTTTATATATACACAGACGCAGTATTTTATAAGGTACAGTTCAATTTTCATCACTGGTATGTAGCGTAATGTCGAGTACAGCGCACGTACATATTCACGTCAGAGAGTTCAATAAGGTGGCAAAAACGACAAACATGCTGCTTAAACTCGCACCTTTTTGGCAAAAAACCACAACTGCACAAGGTTATTTGGCACCATACTCCATAGTTAAGAGTGTATGTAGGTATAATATAAATTATCCCGTTTCAAATTCCAACCTAATACATTAACTTTCCGAGAGTCGTACTATAATCGTTTTTAGGTAGTTGAGACCAAAACGCATACAGTCTCTTTAGACAGTCTCTATAAAAGCACTGATCAAACGAAAATGAGAGTTGAGAAGCAAGAGTTTGCATGAGAGTTTTCTCAACTCTCATGCCCCGGTCAAACGAGAACAAGAGTTGCATGAGAGTTGATTGGATATTACCGCGAGCGTGGCGAAAACTCTCATCAAATCTTATCAAAATTTGAACCATTGATGAGAGTCGATAAGAGTTGTCGGTGAAACGTGATCGAGAGTTACAACTTTCATCCTTGTTTGACCGAGGCTTGACACGATGGACCACCGCCTTTGAAATCTTAAACTATATTTTACGATTGAAAATTCTGAACATTTTAATGGTCTGATTTGGTTTTGCCTCGCCTTTCTTTAAGAGCCAGTGGAACTAGGGCTTGGTTTAACTACTCCAAGGAATTGACCTGTAATTATAATCTTAGTTATTCGCCTGACGTGCTTGGCTAAGATAAAGTTTTGAACATAGCGAGTAAGCCGTGGTGTCGATTCTAAGATTTCGCTCATTCTATATTTATACTGTATTAGGTTCAGTTGTCTAGTCATAGTATATACCATGGTAAAAATCGCCGCGTACATATGTAGAATTGTACACGGAAAATGCGATCACGTACGGTATAGTTAAAAACATTAATTTGCATTAACCCTTATGGCCTCTTATAAAACTGAATCTTGCTTTAAATGAAAAACACATGCATATATATATTGCTTACAAGATTCACGCTAACCAGACCCAAAATTGACGCAAGTTTCTATACTTGGTAACTTAATAGTTTACGATCCTTGTATGGTTAATTCAAACATAAAATTTCACATAAAACACTCAATTGTACACCTACCTTTCACAGCTCGACCTCCCAAGTATCCGTGTTCAATATCCCACCTTGTTTCTTCACTGATAATCTCTACAAATCAACCAAAACGATAGACTTAGATACAATAATAAACACACAACCACTTCAAATCTTATCGTATTACCCTTGCTTGGCTAGCTGTTTATGGCCAATCGTAGCTCGAAGGCTTTCAAGGTCTTTTTATATAGATAGGCCGATAAGTGATAAATATCAGACGTTTTTATATAATCTGTCTCTAATCTGTTCACGTTATATTTAATATAATCTGAACTTGATCTTTGTGTGTGTTTTATCGATCGGTCTCTGCGCAAACTCACTCAATCACTCCACTGAGACAAGCCGTAATGAAATACCCATACGTCAACTGAAACAGCCAACCCTATATCACACAAATCACGGATGTGCTGCTTCAGAAATAAGTAATACTCACGCCTGTCAAAACGTTTAGCGTCAATAGGAGGGCATTTTTACTCGCATTTTTTTTATATAAGCTGTTGTTGTCTCACCACAACATGGGCTGGAAAATTAGTGACACAGCATGGCATTTGAAGAACAGCCATTTCAGTTGGTAATAATAATAGAAATTTTGATGGTTTATATAATCCTAGCGCGGCTAAGCGCGCGTGCTGAGCCCAGCAATTACTCATCCTAGCGACGTATTGGGATATTGCTGGCACTAAGGAAATGCTTAATTGACGGAATTGCCTTATTAATACGCCTTCAAGGGGTGGATAAATTATCGAAATGATTTCATTTTGTACTTGAGAATACTTCAGCGCTACACTGTTCCGGCGCATAGCGTAGTTAGGCCAGCAAATAAACTGCCCTGGTTTGTATTAATGTCCTTGTAAGGATGGTAAAATTACCGAAATGATTTTTTAATTGAGAATACTTTGAATTCCTTCAATTGTTCATTGTCGTTTTTCTTCTTCAGTTTGGTATAAAGTACTTTTTCAAAGTATACCGTAAAATGATATTAAAATTCACACTGTTCCGTTAAAGCACATCGTTTCATTGGAAAAAACGTGCGTTTTCTCGTGCGTTTTTAAAGCTCAGTGGGTTGGAGTGTTGGACCAGACTATCACAGAACCGCAGGTTCCTACAGTTGCATTTTTCCCAGATGGTTGTGTCTAAAATTGTACATAATCTTCCACTCCTCCACAATTTCTATCACATAATCTTCCATAATTTCTATCACATAATCTTCCCCAATTTCTATCTGCAAAGACCTCATTAGTTGTATTGAGCAAGAGCCCCCCCCCCCAAACAATCTCGATAAACTATATAATACTATATTATCTTCATGATTAGCCAGACATTTGTCAGTTGAGTATTGATTTTTTCGACTGTAAGCATCTTTAGATGCTTGACCTGAAGGGCTATTACGTACTTTTTGCGTACTGATCGTAAAAAAAAACTGAATCCTTATTCAGATCCTGTGAAAAATGTGTTTATAAGCCTTAGTTCAAACATCCAACACTTTTGTGCCGACCCTATATAAACAATGAAGATTGTATAGGCTGCTCAAGCTATACAGATCCAGCAGTTCCAGCCAACAACCAAGGTGTATAAAACGGTCCGAGCTCGACAACTGGTCTCTGTAGCTCGGTTAGAGCTCGACAACTGGTCTCTGTAGCTCGGTTAGAGCTCGACAACTGGTCTCTGTAGCTCAGTTGGTTAGAGCTCGACAACTGTCTCTGTAGCTCAGTTGGTTAGAGTTCGACAACTGTCTCTCTGTTAGCTCAGTTGGTTAGAGCTCGACAACTGTCTCTCTGTAGCTCAGTTGGTTAGAGCTCGACAACTGTCTCTCTGTAGCTCAGTTGGTTAGAGCTCGACAACTGGTCTGCAGCTCAGTTGGTCAGAGCTCGACAACTGGCCTCTGTAGCTCAGTTGGTTAGAGCTCGACAACTGGTCTCTGTAGCTCAGTTGGTTAGAGCTCGACAACGGTCTCTCTGTAGCTCAGTTGGTTAGAGCTCGACAACTGGTCTCTGTAGCTCAGTTGGTTAGAGCTCGACAACTGGTCTCTGTAGCTCAGTTGGTTAGAGCGCTGCACCAGAATCTCTCGGTCGCAGGTTTGATTCCTATCAGATGGTCTATAGCTGCACTTTCCCCCAATGTTTCTGGTTAGGTCTAATAAAAGTATAAAATTTACGTCTGTATTCTAAAAGTTCACTCACACTCAATGAGTGGAGGTTCAATCTGAGCTTCCCTTGAGTGTCAGTGCTGTTCAGTTTTGAATATCTTTTAATAGCTGGAGGGTTAGTGTCATACTTTACTATGTGACTACTCACCCTCCAGCTATTCAAAAACAGCATTGACACTCAAGAGAAGCTCAGATTGAACCTCTACTCACTGATTGTGAGTGAACTTTTAGAACACGGGCGTAAATTTCCACCACTACACCCTTCAACAATTAATTCTATCGAGCGTATAGATATCCAAAATTCTGATATTTAGAATAAAAAAGTGGTTAAAGTTAGCTACAGTTAGTGCAAAGGTTAACCAATGAAAATCCCGTATTTTAAAGCAGTCAAGAGTTTTATATGCAAGCTAGCTGCCCTAAGACATTCAGTGTTATTCTTGGCTGCATGCTCAATGGTTTATAGCCTAGGATTTAAAAATATATTCAATACGGTTGAGATTTCACCGCGCCCATTTTGAAAACCAGCTTTAGCTGGCAATGTTAGACGTGATTAAAAAGGTTTATCATCATCTTATTGTAAATGACAATCTTGGACATAACTGGTTGAGACTTCTCTCTATACAAAATGTGCATATTCTTATGGCTTAGGATATAGGTGCCTGTTAAGCCCCCCCCCCCCCCCGTTTACCCAACTCAATGTTGAGCTTGACTCCTTGAGTCATGGTAAATTATCAAACGTTGTTTCCAATACCGAACTGGGGGAGAGGGAGTGACGAAGTTTGCTTTGTCAATGTGCACTGTTCCGTTTGCAATATTGGCTGGAATATCAGTTTCTTTGTTCTCTAATAATGTACCACTAAAAACTGTCAAAATTATTCTCGAGTGTATATTTATGTTGCATGTATATTTATCATACCACAAACATAGATGTGTCATGCACTGGCTTAGACTATAATCTAGGCTTGCTTAAGATTCTCTCGTAAAGTAAGTGTGAAAACCTGACCAACCAGCTCGAAACTTGCGTTCAAGCACCATCTTAAATCTGACCACAGGAAAAGGAAACTTTTCGAGATATTTCTTCCGAACTATTTAATAGTTTATCAAACAATATTAAAATTTTATCACACTACAATCAATTTTGCATTGAGGTTAAAGCTGTATTAAAACAGCGCGTTAAATTCTTATTTTGTAATTGTAATATAGTTTCAATATCATGTATTTGCACTAGTTATATCTTTGAGGTTACATCCTCCTGTTTTTTTGTGCACAGTAGAGTTAGGGACAGGGCCGCATTGTTAATTGGGATGAAGATAAGAGGAAATCTATTCATGCGCATGAAAGTGTTACCTACTTTGTCTTTGAAGTATAGATTATCGCTAAAAGATTGACTTTAATAGAAAGTTTTAATTCTCACTAAAAGATGGACTTTAAAAGAAAGAATTCGTTACTCGAAAGAAAACTTATCAAAAAGGTTGAATTGAAATCTTTACAAAACTGTGCGGATTGTGGCAATTATATAGGCAACACTGCGATGCATTTCAATGAGAAATCTAGAATCATCCTGACTTGTTTATATTTGTGCTTAGTTTTAACACACCCTTTTTCCTTGGCTAACCTTCTCTGATACTCGGAAGGAAACTGATCGAAAAGATTTGATTGAAATCTTTACAAAACTGTACGATTGTGTTAAGCCAACACTGCGATATGCATTTAATTGAGAAATCCATTGAGGACGCACCTATATTCCTTGGCTATAAGTCTATAACCTTCTATGACCTGCACCCGCAACGATATTGTTTTGTCCCGGAATTTTTGAAGCGGAAAATTAACCGAAATATGTTGACGTAGGATCGCAGGGAGAAATTTAATCACTCGCCAAGTTCCTGTTGATATGCAAACATTTTGTGCAAAACAAGGCCTGAGCAGTTTGACTTGGTAATGGTGGGTGAGGTTGTTATTAAAATAAACGTTTCAAAATCCACCCAGTATGCCGAGATGTCTCTGAACATGCATTGTCCCTGCGCGACCAGGCAGAGCCACAAGCGCAGGAGCCCTGGGTTTGAATCGTTTCCAGTCCTGTAATTGATTCTACTCCGTGAGTATGATGAATCCCGCAAATCGTGGGATTTTAACGCACGATCACGCGAGATTTTCCATCTAACAAATAGACAATTCCAGCTTTTAATTTAGGCGCGCAGGGGGTGATGGGAAGTAAGGCATAAACTAAAAGCTGAAATTGCCTATTGCCCATTCTAAAAATTTTGTAACTTGAAAAATCTTGCGTAAAATCACACGATTCTTGATCCAAGTATACAGGTCTAAATAAAAAGTACTCGAACAATGACACCAGTGAAAGCTGTGGATTGAAAAGGAATCAACTGCCTGAAAAATACAGTAAAGCCCTGGGCAAACTAGGAAACATTGTTGTGGAAACATTTGTGATTCTCGATGTTTCTTCAAATGTTTCCCTGTTTGCCCACCCGTGAAAACATTGTTGCGGAAACAAAATTTGCTTCCCGAGAAGCAAAAATGTTTCCTAGCAAATTCAGAAACATTTGATGTTTCCCTAAGGGCCTTAGCTCGGAACCTCGAGGTTTTTTATTGTATTTCAGTTTGAGATTAAACGTACAAAGTTGTCCTTCAGTAGAATTATATGAATGTTGTTTTCAAGTGAGGCCAAAAGCTACTGTTGAAACCTGAAAGTAAAGTCTAACTTAGACGGAAATTTGAATATAAAAACTATAAAAATATAATACCTTTTTAACGAACTTTTTATATTTTTGTAGTTTTTATATTAAAACTTGCCGCCTAAGTTAGACTCCACTTTCAACAGTAGCTTTTGGCCTCAGTTGAAAACAACATTTTTTCAGATCATTGAATTCCTCTAAATCCACAGCTTTCCAGTACAAGGTACCCATGCTGTGATGCTGAACCTCTAACCTACGGAGCACAGTTCAGAACTGATAAACGATCCAGTATAAATAAAGACGGGTCACGGAGGTGAAAACGACACGCACCATGCGCCATGAGTAACCACTATGTCAGCAATACCACTTTCTCGGAGACAAATTAAATTATATGGAGTTATGCAATGTAATGTAGTTATTTGTGGTCAGTGGGACCATCTATAGGTTGTCTGCAGTCTCTCTAGTATCTAAGGAGAACGTTTGGACCTGTAGATTTATATAAATTTGGTTTACAGCTAGGTCGGTTTTGACCAGTAAAAAGTGAGGTCGGTTTTGACCAGGACCATAGAATAACTACGGAAGTTATTGGATTCAAGTTTCCGAATATTGTCTGTCGATTGGTATAAACCAAATTAAACTTTAGTATTTGTAAATTAAAGTTTCTTTTTATGAATTGTGAGGTCCCCATCCATAATGTTATAGCTTTTGCAGCATTTTAAAACGGTTGAAAAATCACTTTCGATAGATAGCACGACCTTTGTACAACCGAGCCCAGCTTCGCAGCTAGTGAATAGGCTACCCTGTCAAAATAAAGTTACTATACTATTCTATTCGTATATATATAGACCGTTTTCCTTATCTTAAAATAAACGAGGAAATATAAACAAGGTCAAGTGCAGTGAAATTTATTTGTGTTTTGTATTCTATACATCAAAAATTAGGCAAGCTCTCGCCATGAATAGAATAACTCTCAGCTTGAGTCCTTTATTTGTTTATAACGTTGACAAGCAATACGTTATCACAACTTGATCTATATACATGTAACTTTAGTGCTGAATGCAATAATTTATTTAATTTACATCTGGTCAACAATATACCACCCAGTAAGGGCAATAAATCTATCTATATACTGCTGTGATGTTTACTAGAGCAAATAATTGTAATTCCTTTATAGTCTTAGACATGAAGAGGAAATAATAAAGCTGCTGAATCCAGACTTAAATCAAGACAGCTTACTGTATAAGATTACCTACACTAGGCTCCCACGTTTGAGAGATCTTTTTCAGGTAGTTCAGACAAAAGTTACGACAGCTTATTGAAGAATATTACCTACACTGGACCGGCCACGTTTGAGATATCTTTTTCAGGTAGTTCAGACACAAACCACGACAGCTTATTGAAGAATACTACCTACATTGGACCGCCACGTTTGAGATATCTTTTTCAGGCAGTTTAGACACAGACCACGGTAGCTTATTCAGTGTAGAATACTACCTACACTGGACCATCACATTTGAGAGGTTTTCAGGTTCAGACACAATTGTGAAATGCTACCTGACTAGATCCCGCTCAGTTTGAGATATTTTTTCAGGTAGTCCAAACACAAATTAACGTAGTTCAGACACAAACCACGACAGCTAATTATGAAATATTGAGTACTATTCACAAATTCCTTATCTATGGGGTTCCAACGGATACATTTCATATACCTTATCAAACGATTCTTACTGGCTTACGAAACCAATGATTCATGAAATAATACAATCTAATCTGTATGCGGATTAAGACAGGATATTATATATATAAATACCAAAAACGTCTACAAAACTCACCACACTTTAGTCTCTAATCACGATTTCACAGCCTTCAATCTTTGTATACGTTGAAGAAGAATCCCTACTCCCTTCTGGTGCAAGGCAAACGCAACAATTCACATTGCATGAGTATGACACAAGCTAATATCCAGCACACCACACTACAAAGCATCCGCGAAATTCAATAGCTATTCTTAAAGTTGCTATTCTTTATGATAAAAACACAATTACCAAAACACAATCAACAAATCAAAGTTAAATTAAAGTTTCCCGTTTTTCCGTTCCTCCAAACGATTCCCTGTCCGGCTATTGTAGCAATTGAAGGTGCGAAGTAAAGTGTAAATGTCGCAAATATACTCGAAATCGTTCGAAAGTCCTGTTGAAAAGCACCGTATTTACCTGTCGGTCGGCAAGTGTCAATGCTAAAAGGATTAATAACATCGCGGAGATTTATTAATTAATTAAATTTAAGATAATTGCTCGCTACAGATCTTTGGCGTAAATGCCAGAAGGCAAGTGCTTTTCTTTTCAAATTCAAATTTAGCGGTAAATGTTTCGTTTGACTTTGAATTCGGTCGAAGTGGACAATGGTTCGGAGCAATGCTGGATTGTTTTAGCCAACTTTACAGGTGACGGCAGAAAAAGTCATTAACCATACCGCAGAGGTCGCTCACGTCTTTGATACCTTGACCGACAATACGTCAAACGCAAGGTTATGTCCGTGTCTGTTTAATAGTTTAATAGTTAGCCCATGCTTAAGTTCACGATGTGTCTTTCTTCTCTGTGAGCAACGTCTGATTGCTGTAATGCGCAGTTGACAGGGTTCGTAGCGGTCTTTAAAATCCTTTAAAGTCTTTAAATTTGAATGCAAGTCTTTGAATTGTGTGAAAAAGCGAAGAAAGTCTTTAAAAGTCTTTAAATTCTTTAGTGAGGAATTGATTATATAATTTCCTAGCTGATAAAATAGATTGATTGAAGCAAGATTTTTGCAAATATCGACGAAAAAGGCGCATTTTAGGATGTGATTTGACGGGACTAAAAATGGTACTTACACTCGCAATTTTTCGACAGTTGATTAGCCTGATTGCTCTCAAGGTCTTTGAAAAGTCTTTGAAAATAGGCAGAAAAAATCTTTGAAAGTCTTTTTTGGTCTTGGAGACTACGAACCCTGGATTATAATTTCACCTCAGTCACATGTGAGAAGAGAGCTTCCAGTTGACTCTACCAAACACCCCAGGTTCTCTCCTGGTACCCCGGGTTTCCTCACCTGTAGTAACACTGGGATGATCCTTGCAGGACCACTGGGAAGAACAGTTTAGACCTCAGAGGGCGTTATCCAATATAAATATACTGTAGTAAGGTTTAGTTAAGTTTCAACTTATAATTGTATAACTAAAAACTAAAAACTACGATGGCAGAAAAGAGTCATAGCAATACCGCGGAGGTCTCTTACAAAGGACTCTGTCTTTTGCCAACTCCGATTCTCCGACAATACATCCGAAAAGACACCGCGATCCTGGCCATGTGCAGCAAATGCTAATTAGGGCAATAGTAGGAAACCGTGAGCGATTGTAAAACGTCAAAAACTACGCTTGTATAGACTACATTTTAACATTGAGAATTGGACCAACACCCCCCAGTTTCTGGCCACAGACTCTTGTCCAGGTTTTTCAATCCAGTGCGCCAAGCATTGCGAAAGGCAGGAACTTGAGTAATCATCTTATCATCATTGGCTCTATTCAAAAACGATGCAGCGATACTGCAACCGAAACCTGGTACTGCGCATAATTTATGTGCAAATTATCGCACTTAATCACTGTGAGACATTAGCGATAATATTTTTCATGGGGCGATTTTTCAGAGACATGTCTGAAAGTTATGTACCTTGAAACCGCAAAAATAAAAAGGGATAAGACAGTGTTTAATGCATTTACGTTTCATACGAAGTAAAACGTTTTTTAGATACCTGTATGGCATCCAACGGCAAAAGCAGAAAACACTAAAATTTAATTACTTGTGTTTTTGTGTGACAGACCTGCCAAGAGCTAGCCTACTCACCAGCCTGAAATTTCGGGCTGGGAGCAGGCTAGCCAAGACCCACCAATGCTAATGTTTTATGCTTTCTTACGGTCTCACGACAAAGCATTTCAATTTCACGACTTGTTAAGAATTCTGTTTAAAGTGTATTTACAAGCTTGGAGGGTTTTCAGATTGAAATGATCGAGTGTTAATTTTATACACATTTATTGACACCTAACCAGGATCCAAAAATGCCTTTGTATGCCCTCAAAGCTGCGGCCCTGCGATTCTGGTGCATGGCTCTAACCAACTGAGCTACAGGGTCCAGTTGTCGAGCCGTCTAACCAGGCACAAATTCATGTATTTAAACTAGGGTATACTGCTTTTGTTGGCATATAATAGATAATACAACCCTTGTTTTCTAGAAACATCGCGCTGAGTTTCCAATGAGTTGATTATAAAATATAACACTGACTTTTGTTCTAAAACGTCCAATAACACAGAACATATAAGGAGTCTGCAGAGACATTCACGATTTTAAAAATTCGAGCTAAATAGAGAACTAACTTTTTTTTATTCATTCAATCCATATTAATTTCGAAACCTACAGCCGGTTTTTCGAAACCGATTGAGGTTTACCCTGGGTTAAAACCTAAATCCTAACAGCTTGTTTATAAATTTGGAGCGTAAACTAAAACAGCAGGTTAAATTTTAACTGAGTGTCAACGCTGAATCCAGCTTTGACTGATCTCACGGTTTTTCTCAAAATCTTACGACATCACTAAATTCTATGTGCCTTTATTAACTTATTTAAGTACTTACCTTTCTTTCCAAAAACACTTAAACTGCAATAGTCAGTGATTTCATCTTAAAAACCACACACGACTTTTACTCAACATGCAGTTGGCGTAATCATGATTCATGAGCCATAAAAATGATCGATACATAACGTAGCATGAGTTAATTGCACAACTACGGCGTACTAGAATATTCAAGGAATACAATTTATATAGTCGCCTTTGTCTTAGAGTGAGAATCATTCTATTGTTTATGATTACCATTTCACAGTGGTTGAGTACGCTTCGTAATATTTAATTTGATAGCAGTCATAGTTAAACATTTAAGTAAGACAAGATGGAAATATAATCATGTCATGTGGTCAAATCCCTTTTTATTTTTGCATTTTTAAGCTATCTTTTTCTCATATTTCTGAAAATACCTCTCCTCCTCCCCCCCCCCTGAAAAATATCGCCGATGCCGATAATTAAGTGAGGCAATTTGCATAAATTATGCACGGTTCCAATTTTTGGTTCCTGTATCGCTTTTGAACACCGCACAAGTAGAGTGGAGGTTCAATCTGAGCTTTTCTTGAATGTCAGTGCTGTTTTTGAGTAGCTAGAGGGTGAGTAGTCGCATAGTACGGTACGACACTCACCTTCCAGCTATTCAAAAACAGCATTGACACTCAAGAAAAGCTCAGATTGAACCTCTACTCATTGAGTGTGAGTGAACTTTTAGAATACGGGCGTTAAATGTGGTGTGATCAGATTCATTCATTCACCATTCAGCAAGCCCACATATTTGTTGGTAACCATAAAGTGTACTGAAATCGTGTAATCATTCTTTACAGCATAGTCTACTTAGAGTTAAGTTTAGTTTGTTTAGTTTCTCGCTCAAAGTGGTGAGCGGATTTTCCAACTATTGCCCAATTCACAGGGGTCCAAGGTACCTACGATTTTAACGTCCTTATCCGAGAAGACGCGAAAGACTAACCATTTACTGATGTCAGTACAAAGGTAGCACTTTCTCCTCAATTATTTTAAGACTTTGAGTAGAGATCCGACCGTGGGTTGAACCCAGGTCTTGGGGCTTGAAAGGCGAGCACGACACAACATGTGCTTGTTTAGGTGTGATTATAAGGAACTTATATTGATATATTTTGAGAGGAGGAACTTTCCTTTTGTGCGGTGTTTAGTAGCAGTCGTTGTCACACTGCAGCATGAAATATAAACTTTAAATTTGTTTGTCTAGCGGCGTGACTCAAAGACAATTGATTGAGCATATGTTCCAATAATTTTCTCACTCTGTCTCGACCTTTCAACGCTCATTTATCACACTTTCATAATCGTTGGACAAACCGAGTTGATTGAGTAGAAATCGATTTTCTCAATGCAAATATTTCGAGTCAATTCATATGAACAACACCCATTTAAATAGCGTGATGTCGCATTCGAGAGGTGATGCAATCGCCAGAGCAAGTTTTTTCCACCTTTGAGATCGTGGCTTCGCTCTTCGTTCAGAACTCAAGTGAAAACAACCGTGGCTTCGCTCTTCGTTCAGGTCTCAAGTGAAAACGACGAAAGTCGTGGGTTTGCTTCGGGTATACTCCTGTTTCCTCCCCGCCAGGGAATGTCGACAGGGTGGGCTGGGATTAGTTGAACGATCTTGGAGGTTGCAAGACATAGCCATATTCATGTTTAAAGTCAAACAAAGGCTACTTCCGAACAATATATTAAATATATTTATAAACACACCAAGGAATTATAATCTTAGAAACTCAGACTTTCTTATACCGAGATTTAAGTCTGTAAAATTTGGAAAACACTCATTAAGGTATTATGGACCTTGCCTTTGGTCAAAATTAAAATCCGAAGACAGAAATCAGACTTCGCTATCTGCTTTTAAGCGTAGTATCAGAAAAACAGACCTCAGTTGTATTGCATGATAAACTCCATAATAATAGTCTTAGTACTAAGCTGTAGTAAAATAATTAGTGTATTATATATGTAATCATAGCAGTAATTTTAGTAATATACAATAGGTGTAAATTCAGTTGTTTAAGCTTAGTGTCCCCAATTAGTAGGTTATCTGTAACCGGCTAGATGTAAATGACACTTTAATAAAGTTCTTAACTAACTATCTTGTAGATGGAAATAATGAAGTGGACATTTATGTACTATTTAAGACCTAGTCAGGAACACAACTTTATTAAAGTCCCTGACAGGAATCGAACCTTCGGCCCTGCGATTAGTTTGGGATTACCCCCTAACTGTCCCTTCCATCGTAGCTGAAGGAAACCTAGACTAAACTCCAAACTGTTCTCCCTAGGCCTAGAGGTCCAATCCAGTAAGAGTCATTCCTTATTGATCCAGTGTTACTACAGGAGGGGAACCTTAACTAACTTTATTTATACTGGATAGCTTTATCAGTTCTAAACATTCCTTTGTAGAGGTCTAATAAAAGTCATCTCTTATTGATATTTGGAGAAAACCAGTGGTGTTTGGTAGTGTCAGACTGGAAGCACTCTTCTCACATGTGACTGAGGTGAAATTATAATGAGACAACTGGATATTGTAAGAATTGAACCCAAATGTCAGAAACGTCCTTGGCCCATGCACCGCTAGATAGCCTGATAACTTGAAATTGAGCAAACCACTTAATGTAAACGCAGTTTCACTTCAGAAAACAAACATTTCCTCCATATTTCAATCGTTTTGACAAACATTAAAACATGCACCCAGAAAAAACAATATTTAAACTAACTTGCCTCTTTGTTTGTTCCGTCCTGCACCCCAGATTTGAATTCCTCGCTTCAAGACCCAGTACAAAACACTGAACTGCTTTCTCCTATTATTTCAGCTGCATAATGAGGTCAACAAACGCGAGCCGTGGCTTTATGAACCAAACGCAAAGATATAAATCATCTTGACAACTTTTATTAAAGAGTAATAAAGTCGCATAAAGTTCCGAGACACAAGCAAAACAAGAAATTAAACTTCGCTGCGTGAAAAATAATAATAGTCTGAAGATATAAATCAAGTTGGATGCTGAGAAAAGGTACTTAGTTTTATTAGTTTTGTTTTATTTTTTTACAATATTGCGCGTCTTTGAAGTGTAGTTGTTGAAACTAACTTTATTTATGCTGGATAGCTCTATCACTTCTAAACTGTTCTCCCTAGAGGTCCAGTAAGGATCATCTCTTATTGATCCAGTGTTACTACAGGAGGAAACCTAAACTAAACTAACTTTATACTGGATAGCTCAATACATTCAACTCACATGCGACTGAGGTGAATTTGCAATTACCCCCCCCCCCCGGAATTATGAATTGTGTATGAGCATATACAATGCGCGCGTGCGCTTAGAAGTAAGTTTGCGGGTTTGTAGATTTGCGGGCTCGTTTCCATGCACAAGACGATCAATATTTGAATTTTTTATTGATGGCATGCAGGTGGCCATGCCACACGTTTTGAAGACTTCACGATTTTGTTTGCCAGGATTTTTTTTAAAAAAGCATCGCATTGAATAGTAGTATATCTAACTAAACTACATGATTCATGAATCGCACGAATTGTATGGCGGTATATCTATCTTTGTATCGCAATTATTTTTCGAGCGTTTAGAAACGTTCTTGCAATATTTATATATCAAAACATTTAAATATAGTAACAGCCTGCGTTGATGCTTAATATAGTTTGTGGTGACGTTGCATCATAATAAGCCTTCGTGTTGATTGTTTTAAGTTGACATAACGGTGCTATTCTCAGCTATTTTTCGTTCGTTTTTTGCGTTGACATATATTGGAGATTACAGTGTCGACATTTTTAAAGCATTTCATGGGAAAATAGCCAAGATTAAAATGGAATTATAAATGTAAGTAGCCTTAATTTCAAGAATAATTTTTGCGTGTTTACCATAATTGCATCACACTTGTGATAAGTCATTATTGATCTCAGATCTCTACATTAAATACGAATAACTTTGTTTTGGATAATGTAAGCATATAGCGAACTCTTCAGCGATCATTTAGTATTTCAAACTAACTCTAGTTTGCTTTAACAACGTTACAATACCATTCTTTACATATGACGTTACAGTGGCCATATTGAAAGAACGCTGACAAAAGATGATATCATTTTAGCAACTATAAGGAATTCTTTACGGTAGTGAACTCTTCATAATTTCAATTTAGCCAGGTCGAGTCTAAGTAAAAGATAAAAATCAAGCTCATTGTTTGAGATCCTCAAAGCACAACACTTCCCTTCGTTTGGAAGGAGAAAGGCAACCAGCTTCCAGTAGGATGCAGAAAAACGTCCTTGACTCGAAAGGCGTTTTTTATACATTTTAAAGTAGTTAATCCTTCCACCTAACCTGTTGTCATCTTAAATTGTATTTTATATTGGGCCCAGGTCATGAACCTAAAACATGGCTTCAGTATCATCGCATTTGGACGAGACACATTTACAAGACAAAACAGCAAGCGCTAGACACGAAAATAGAGAAGAAAAACCATTAAAAAATAAGAAAACTGTAGAAGAAGGCAAAGTTCTTCGCAAAAAGATCCGTCATCTTCGACGAGAGGATGAGCGACAAGCGAAGAGCTTAACTCGGGATCTCAAGGACATCAGAGAGTCACTTTCTGGTGTCAATAACTTGAACCAAATACAGACATTTGATGGACATGAGTTTAAAACGAGAGGCCACAGAAATTATAAAGAAACTCGTGGTTTTTATAGCGTTAACTCCACGAGAACAGAACAACGACAAGGGAAACATTATGAAGTAAAAACTGACCACCGTGATGACGCGAAGACAACTAGCAAAAGATGCGATAATTTCGAGGAAGGTTGTCGAAGTCCTTCTAGTATTAAACAGAAAACAACCTCGCCTTCACGTCAGCGAAAAACTGTAAGATTTGAAGATGATTTGGGAAAGAAGGAGACGGAATGGAGTCGACGACAGAATGAAACTATTTTGTCGCTATCCAGTATTCACTTAAAATAGCGAGAGAAACCAGTGACCTCTCTCTCTATATATATATATATATATATATATATATATATATATATATATATATATATATATATATATATATCTGGAGCACGAACTTCAGTCATTCGTCCCTATATATAAATCCGGTTACGTAACTATATATAAACCTGGATTATTTGAACTTTCTAGGGTAAGACCGTTGTATAAATAGCAACCATTAATGACTAAAAGTCAATAAACTGTACTAGCTGATTGTTATAAAAAGAAATCGTCAAGTAAACTTAATGACAATATACAAACAGACATGCTCACATGTTTTATCACATGTCCTTATCACATGTCCTTATCACATGTTCCTTTTTATAAATTATGAATCTTGGGATGTTAATTAAGAAATCGCACTTAATAATTATACAATTAATATACATGATGTATTTTACCGTCACTTTTGCCACAAGTTTTAAAAGGAGTTTGTCTGTATAGCTATGCCCAGTCGGTTTTCACTTAATTATAATTCAACTATATAAATGTATGAACGTTATTTATTGATATGATAATTGGCGTACAGTAATTAGGCTATAACGACCAGCCGAACAATTACCTTCGACTTAATTGCCTTGTTAATGTGAAGCAGAGGCATGTAATATATTGTATTGGCGACTGTTCCATAACATCATACAGTCATGCATTGTCTTACTGTTACAACAAGAAATGTTATAACAATTACTGGAAAACTATATAGCTAGGAAGATCAAAAGCTTAGACAGAGGTCAATTTCTTAAACAGAGAGTTTGCCACTCCTGGAAGACAATGGCTTCGAACATTAGTGTAGATATACCCAAAAGCCAAGAAAAACAAACCAAGGCTATGGTCTACCGTTCTCGCCAAGTGCTGAAAAAAGAACTGAAAAATATCGACAGTGAATATTCAAAAACCTTATCCAACCTTCATCGAGACCTAGAGAAGACGAGAGATGCTCTCAAAGCTTTAAGAGTTAGTCAGAAAGTTGCAAGACGTAATAGCGGTTTGTGTAAACAAGGAATAGACTTTGGACTCAGCTCAGTCACTCATGTACCCGCCCCGCCGTTGCTGAGACGAAGTAGAGCTTCTACCTTTCCATTTGAAACTGATTGTCCGTTGAAGCTTGTCGAGAGGCGTCGATCTTCTAAGGTAAGCGTAACCTGCGATCAGGCTCTATTTTACAAATAATAGCCTGACACAATCCTTAATCTGATTGCTTTCCACCCACAGCAAAGTTTATATGTAGTATCCAATCAAAATGTCGCAGGAGAATTTAAATTTCACACAACGACAACAACAATCTAATTATAGTTGTGATCACTATAAATATATCAACGACAATATATAATTAGCATTAGCACCAACCAATCAAATGACATATTAAAAAATATTTTGTCTCATAAACCAATCAGATTTACAACCGAAATACGGTTGTAAAAACATGGACTTTTGTTTAAGATTTGTATCAGCCCTATTTATTCATTTATAGGCCTGATCGCAGGTTAAGGTAAGCGAGTACAGTGAACCATTTATTAAATTTAGCGGAGGTTACTAGATGGGGGTGCAATCGCTCCTAATGTCAGAAATCCTTTGAATGATAGCAGAATAACTGTGTAACTAGCTCTTGTGGTGTTCGTGCTCACCATGCTTGCCAAGCTGGGAGACCCAAGTTCAATCCTTGGTCGGACCATAGTTTAAAGAATAGATGGCTTGGAAACTCATTAGAATAAAAATACATCTCATTATCTATGTTAGTCAACGTTTATTCATAACTCTGGTCCTTCACCGTCACGTGTGTATTGTGTTTTTGCCAAATCCACCATAGCAATGTTTTAGGAAAGTTACCTATCCGTGACTCGAACAATAGGGTAAATTGGAAATTGCTATTCAGTGGTGGATTTGGCGAAAGCACAATTTTGTTTCTGTTTAATCGCCCATTTATTAACAAAATGTTACTAAAAATATATGTACATAGTGAGTAGATAGGCCTAGGAGTCTACTAGAAACCTTGAAAGGTTTTTGATTAAGACCCCTAGTTAAGTCGATGTTTTAAAACTAAAATGTTTTTCCTTGTAAAAGAATCCTAATTTTACAAAAAAATATACGTGACGGTGAAGAACCAGAGTTGTGAATAAACGTTATATAAGGGCCCTGTTTACATGATCCCGGGATAAACAACTGCCCCGCGACAAGTCATTGACCCGGGGTACTGATATCTTCTGTTCACATGAACAAAGCTAGCGCGGGTCGATAAATACATTACACGGGAATCATAAAATATTTCCGCCAACGTGAAACGGTGAAATATTGCTAAAAAAAAACATTCTGATAAACGCAAGTCGTATTTTATGTTATGATATTTACAAATAGAACGTAGTTGATTATCAGCCGTAATAAAATGTGCTCAATTCATTGTTTCTGGTTGACCAGATCAAATTCTTTGAGTAACACACTACACTTCTTGGTTTCAAACATGATATTAGCGACAATTTTATTTTAATATTATTAGAATCATCACTTATAGATTTTTAATGATATCTTCAATCAAATAACAAGTTTTTGTGGAGTCCAACGTGCTCTAAATGTAATTTCAGCCGTGATTTTAATCGTTTTACCAAAAATTTAATTATCCCGGGACAAAGTTGCCCCGGGGCAAATTGTTCACATGAGGAAAAGTTGTCCCAGCGAGGCGAGTGTCCCTGTCTACAGAGGCGAGGCACTCGAGACAACTTTTGTCCCGCGACAATTGCTTGCCCCGAGACATAACGCTGTCCCGTGTTATCAATTAGCCATAATAGCCTGTTGGGAAATCCGCTGACCAATGAGTGAGAAACTGCAACAAATAAACAAACAGGGGGCTAAGTTCCTATACAGGCAATAATAAAACTATTGTACTGTCTGTTCAATATAAATTATTTTATAAATTGAATATTATCTATATGCTCTAGGCTACTGTTCGACCTCAAGTGCGATCAAGAAAAATTGTAGGAATGAAAGGAGATGGAAGAGAAGATGAAATAAACATGAGATATGATAAATTGAATCGACGAGAAAGTCAAATGAGCATGAACGACGCTGGGGCATCTCAAAACACAGAACAAGAAGAGTTGCAAGTGAATGAGAAACCGCTACAAGGGAGAGAAAGCGAGCAGTTGGATGAAACAGAGACTCTCACAACTATATCATGCATTTCGTCTGCCTGCGACACCTCCGAGGTTCATAGAGATCTGGAAACGAAGATGGAAGAGGTCCAAGGAGAACTGGGAAACAAAGTTGTGGAGGGCCTGGAGAAGAATGTCGCGGAGGGTCTTGGCACGAACATTGCAGTGGTCCGAGGAGATCTGGGTACGATGATGACGAGAGGGTGATTCTCAAGTCGAGGAGGTCCTGGGGGAAAACGTTCGAGGAGATCTGGGTACGAAGATGACGACAGGCGATTCTCAAGTCGAGGAGGTCCTGGGGGAGAACGTTCGAGGAGATCTGGGGACAAGTAAACTGACCGTTGATCAGCTCAAGGAACCTGGTAATGAGAGTGATCCACCCAGTGAGCCGAGCAGTCCTGGGAACGAGGATGACAAAGAACCAGTCGCTGATCAAGAAACAAATGTTCAAGAAGTGTTACGAAATTCATGGACGAATGACGATGCTAGTCAAAAAGAAACAGTTGATAAAAACTCACTGTTCTTTGCAAATAAAGGAAACAGTACACATCGCACTACACCGGAGAAACGAATGCTCGCTAGACGAGCAAGTTCACCCAACATTATGATTCCAACAACTCAAGCAGAACCGGTTTTAAACAGACCAAAAACAGGTTTTCTGGACGCCCACGAAGTTTAACAAGTCCACAAGATCCAAGCCAGGATAGTACCAGTATTAGTCCACCACGAAAACGAATGTTGGCTAGACAAGCAATTAGCTCACCTAATCTTATGTCAGCACAAACAGTACCGGGGACAGACAAGCCTAAATTAAGTTTTCGACGCCCACCAAGTTTAGCCAGTACACATGAACCAAACCAAGATAATACCAGCAGTAGTTCGCCACGAAAACGAATGCTAAGTAGACGAGCAAGCTCACCTAATCTTATGTTTACAACATCACGAACAGAAGCAGTTAAATTGACTTTTGAACAGAGACAAAGTTTGACAAGTATACAGGAACTAACCCACGGAAACGCTTCGACAGAAATTTCCCCACCTTCGGAGAAACCCACCGCCAGGACTCGTCGAAGCTCGATAGCGGTGATGACTGGGGTTGTGAACCCGTTACCCGGGTTTCCGAGCCCTAAGTCCCTATTTCGTAGCCTCCCAGAGCTGTCCGGCCAAAGTTCTAGTGGTCCAGATTTTGAGAAATACAATTTTAGAAGAAGGGGTTCAATTCAAGAAAATCAAATCCAAGACTCGTTACGGAAAATCAACCGGAGATTGACAACGCCGCTGACTGGGGCTCAACTTGAGAGGAGATTGCAGGCGCGTGTGGGTGCAGCGGCTTTGCAAACAAGAGTAGCCTGCACATCCGAAAATAAGGCACCCGATGAACTGGATATGAGCGATCTCCAGGACTGTCGCTATATACGGAGTCGTGTTAGTAAATAGCAATTTTCTTTTTTTCTTCATATCATGCCTTGCGTCCGTGACAGTGTAAAAGTTTTTGCTCAATAAACCAACAATATTTAATGTCTCGTATGTCAAATAAGCTAGTTGAAATAGCAAGCCCGCATTCGCGAAAATTCGTACAACTAACAATGCGCGCGCAAGCTCTTTGCTCCTTGGACGCAACTAGCCTGCATGGCAGGGCCATTGAATATGGGCCTAATAAGCCTATCTCATTTACCCATTGAGCAGGCTATAGGACGCAACCAGATGAAAATGCTCAGATGAACAATTACCGCTGCGCAAAATATTCAATTACCACTGCGCAAAATATTCAATTACTGTATATTTTCGTTTGGAGTAATAGTCATCACTTGACTTTACACTGAAGTCAGTCAAGTGCATATATACACGCTCTTCATTCACGTACAACAGGACATTAAATTATTTTAAAAAAATATTGATAATTTTTTTTTATCATAAACTACAATTTAGATCTTACATATGAAAAAGCGATTTTAAATTAACTTCATGCATTTGAACTAGCCACAACAACAAGTTGGTAGTTCACAAAAATAGAAACATATCACAAATCATACATTAATATAAGTTATAATTTATATGCACAGCATCCGATGTTCTCATTTCCAACCTACGTTCTGCGCAACGTTTCTGCGCAACGTACACAACGTCTGCTTTACACTATCAAAGTTACGTTTCTGTGATCACAGTAGGAATTTTGTAAAGGTAAATTCTAAGTTTTGAAGGATTTGTAAGAAATGTTTGAGGGAATTGACTCGTTGTTAAACACTAATTTAGTTCCCTCAAACATTTCTTACAAATCCTTCAAAACTTAGAATTTACCCAAAACTTACCCTACTGTGATCACAGAAACTTTGATAGTGTAATACATCCTTTCGATAATTACGTCACAACTACACTGTTTTCAACTTAGAACCACCTTAAATGGAAACGATTTCAAGTATTTTTCTCATGGGCTATGCACAGAGAAGCAGAACATCCTTCTTCAACACTTGCATGAAAAAGAATTCTTTATTTTGACCAATAAATATGGAAATAAGCTTTAACAGGGTTCGTAGTCTCCAAGACCAAAAAAATTCAAAAAAAGACTTTCAAAGATTTTTTCTGCCTATTTTGAAAGACTTTTCAAAGACCTTTGAGAGCAATCAGCTGTCGAAAAATTGCGAGTGTAAGCACCATTTTTACCCAGTAATTAGTCGCGTCAAATCACATCCTAAAATGTACCTTTTCGTCGATATTTGCGAAAATCTTGATTAAATCAATCTATTTTATTAGCTAGGAAATCGTATAATCAATTCCTCACTAAAGAATTTAAAGACTTTTAAAGACTTTCTTCGCTTTTTCACACAATTTAAAGACTTTTCAAAGACCTGCATTCCAATGTAAAGACTTTCAAGGATTTCAAAGACCGCTACGAACCCTGTTTAATACGAAAACGAGGTCTCGTTTTCGTGTTAATTCTTATTTCCATATATGATCAAATCCAAAATTTTTTTTCATGCAACTCCAAGTGTTGAAGAAGGATGTTCTGCTTCCCTGTGATAGCCCATGAGAAAAAAACTTGAAATCACTTCCATTTAAGGTGGTCCTAAGTGGAAAACAGTGTAGTTGTGACGTAATTATCGAAAGGATATATTATATAACCAAGGCTTAATTTAGTAACATGTCAGTTTCTCAGAGATCATTGTTTCTTATAAATCTATTTCCTTCAGAATGTTTACCCACGTAAACATATCGGCTGCGTCCAAACGTGCCGTGATGGTCGCCAGCGTCTGTTAATTCTTGGGATAATGGCGTGTAACCGAAGTTTCTCTTCGCTTTACTCTTTTCTTCATCCTGAAAAATAGTCACACGAGATATTGGTAAAGACAGATTTACACCACACAACTTTTGCCTAAAACTGTCGCATGCAACCTGCTTACAACTTGAGTTGTACTGTGTTAATCGAGCACACGACTCGATCGCATACCGTACGTTTCGTAGATGAGTTGTGTGCTTGATTAACAAACTCCATCAGGAATTTTTTCTGTGTTGGTGTAATGTACTCAGGTGAATATGATGCTTGTGATGTTACTCTGAGTGTATATCCACACCGGGCAAGCTTGAAAAATATGTCTGGCCACGGTGGGAATCGAACCTACGACCTTTGGAATACTAGCCCAATGCTCTGCCAACTGAGCTACGCGGTCAGGTCGGTTCGAGTATGTATTCATGACTGCTAAATTACATTGATATCGAAGGAACTAGACTCAGTTCCGAAATATCGCATACTCGAATCGACCTGCCCGCGTAGCTCAGTTGGCAGAGCATTGGGCTAGTATTCCAAAGGTCGTAGGTTCGATTCCCACCGTGGCCAGCCATATTTTTCAAGCTCGCCCAGTGTGGATATACACTCAGAGTAACATCATAAGCATCAAAACGCCATCAGGTTTCTTCCTGCACTGGAGAAATGAGGAAAGGCTCCTCAGTTTCGAAATCATGGAGTTACTACTTACTGTAGTTTCTTGTCCTGGGGCAACAACTTTCAAGAATGCACCTCGTGTTAGACCTTCTTGTCTCTCTTTCTTGGAAACTGGTTTCGAGTCCAAGAATTTGAGATTCGGGAGTTTATGTAGGACGAAATATCTAATGGAATTACAAGAATTTTCTAGTTAGTTTAGGGTAGGTTAATTCATTTAGAACAATAAGGGTTACCCTTACTAAGAAGAGCAGTTTTGAACTGATGGAGTTATTCAGCATAAATAAAGTTAGTTTAGCTTCGGTTTTCTCCTGTAGTAACGCTGGATCAATAAGAGATGATCTTTACTGGACCTCTAGGGAGAACAGTTTAGAACTGATAGAGCTATCCAGTATAAATAAAGTTAGCTTAGTTTAGGTTTCCTCTTGTAGTAACACTGGATCAATAAAAGATGATCCTTACTGGACCATTAGGAAGAAAAGTTCAGAAATGATAGAACTATCCAGTATAAATAAACTTAGTGTACTTCACCTATATCTTTGATAGTCTTCCTCGTCTTTTTCTAAGTCTGATAATTCGTTTGGACAAGCCGTATTTCCAAGCAGACTCAAGTAGGTCAATACTGGAAGATGTTTTGATATTTTTTCAAGAAGAGATTCTAAATTTGTTATCTAAGTCACCATTAAGGAATGCCTTTTGGGAAGAGTGCTTATTGCTTGAGTTAGGAGCAATGGATGTAATTAACTAATGCACGTTCATGCCTGTTGCCATATCCAATTCACAATTTCAGACTTGCATACCTAGTTATCATTATTCTGATAAAGAAAGCAAAGAATGGAACAAAAGTAACAGACATACGTTGTAGGCAGAGGGGGGGGGGGGGGGGGGGGGGGGGGGGGTCAAATTGTTAGAGGGGAATGAATAACATTTTAAAAGGGGTAAATTGTTTTGGATAGAAAGAGGAGATGAAGATGCTTTTTGGAGAGGTGGGGCAAATTTTTGTTGATATGGAGCGACAACAAATTTTTAGGGGGCCGCATAAGATTTTGGGGGGTGGGGAACTGGCACTTTCAGAGACTAAAATAGGAGCTTGTTATTTCAAGGATACTTTATTTTTATTCATAGTTAAAGTATGGAGATAATTTAAAACTGGGAATATGACATTGTCATCAATTTCGTTTCCATCTAAAATTAATTCGCGTAGTTCCGTAAAGCCTTGGATTCCTTCTAAATTGCTGAAAAATAGAACAAAGATATACATGTACAGTAAATATTTTGTCATGTTACTGAGCTAACATTGGCCTGTCTTGGGGCTTGAAATAACAGCCGATCAATGATCAGCAAGAAATTGTTTATGATCAGCAGAAAAAGAAAGAGTTTCTAACCAGAAACGCAGGGAAAAGTCATGACTGCAGATCACTATGATCAGGAACTTTGGGGACGTTATTTCAAACCCTGCCCAGCTGCGTACTATTTATTTCCACAATGACTTACCTCAGTCTATTGAAGCTGAGATCTAATCGTAGAATATTTGGTCCATATGTAATTCCTAAATCTGGTGGAATACTCAGAGCGTCTCTTCCCACCATTGAAAGCTAAAACAGAGCAAAGAGGTCCCTTTTGCACACGATCAGAAAACCACATGCAAATTTGACTTGGTTGTTTGAATTCACACAGGATGCACAAAACCAGACATATTCAAGCACAACTAACCATAAGGCCCATCTACATGATAGACTAGTTGTGACTTATTCTGATGTATGCATGTACTTGTTGAATAAGTGACATTTTCAAATATCACTGATGAACAGGAATAGTGGCATTAGCATTCACTTTCATATGCCAGACTGACACTTGTACACAACTAGTCGTATTGTGTAAATGGGCCTAAGTATATGAATTCCATGGATGTAAACAAACAGAGCTGGATGAATATTTTTGAACTCATCCATACATGAGATGTAATGTATTCTGGCTTACGTCAAATGATTTTATAAGTGGTGACAGTAAACCTACGTTTACACACTACAATTTGTCGTGTACGATTTGTATTCTGGCGCTATAATTCATTGCCGTTTCATTAGAAACTAATTTCAAATGTAGCCAGCTTACACGTGTTTACTCAATGACATACGCCAGAAAAAGAATCACACAATTAATGGCAGCGTGTAAACGTAGCTTAAGTGGGGATGTGTCAATCATCACCTCTGGCGGCCATGTTATGACTCATCTCTGATCGCGGGGCACAGCTACCAGGGAAGGGCCAGCTAGGGGGCTAATCCAAACCCCATCCAACTTATAGAATACCATAGATTTAAAGTAACAATAATTTACCAGGAGTGATTTTATGCACGATTTCTGACTACGCGACTTCTAATGCAGATTTTGTTATGTTTTTTAATTTCATTCTAACAACAAATCTAAACAATTATGCACTTTATAGCCAACTATTTTTCGATCATTAATGTTTATATGGATAAAATGACTTCATTCATGTTCAGTCACGAGAACCTACGAAATATTATTAATAGAACATTCAACATTGATATTGCTTTCACTACAAAACTTCACTTTAAAACCATTTACTTCTAAACTAAGACTTGCCTGTGTTCCATTAACTACATAATCTTCCTCGTTCTCCATGATTCATTGAAAATCTTTCAAAAAATATATATTTATTTGTCAAAATACGCAGAAAATAATATCTTGTTACTTAATTTGTGACTACGAAACGCTCGGCTGTTTCTCGGAAAGATCCGTCACGGAAGTCGGATTAGATTACTTGCGAAACTGTTTACAAAAAAAATAGCTTCTAGCCTTATACAGTAGTGTTTTCCCAAGGAAAACACTTCAGTACTAGTTATTCATCTCACTTGCATACTTAGGAAGTGATTATAACTAAAGATATCAATAATATTCAACATTTTTTTAAATTTTCTGAAAGATTTTGTATGTTTTCATATTCGCACCGGAAGCTGACGGCATTCTCCGATGTATCCATGACAACAACACTACTACCAATTTCACACTACAGAAAAATACTCTGGTTCTATTAAAGCACAAATACGGCAATTTTTGCTGGGTTTTTGCCCCAATGGACTCTGAATATTTGAAAAGACATGTAGGTAAAGCTCTGTCAGAAGGCCTAGCTGAAGTCTGTTTGAAAAGACCGGTAGATCCCGTTGAATATTTGGCTTGTTGGCTCAGAAAATATGTTGAAAATGAAGCTTATAATGCCAAGGTACTGAGATTTTATTTGACCATTTAAATATTGTAGACAAAGGATAGTAACTGTAGCTTTCAAATGGACTGGAAAGCTATGGGAATTTGTAGGTTTTAAAAATTTGCAATGATTTAACTCATTAAGTTGCAATGTGCCCTGATGCAACATTTTTTTACTATTAAACTGTCAAAAACCAGACAATTTTATTTGTCAAGACGGAAATGTTGAGCATGAGGGAGTCAAACAAATTGTCTGTTCATTTTAACCCATCACGCTGCAGTGTACCACAATGCCCTAGAACTTTGCTTTTTTACTCTGTCTAATGCCAGACAATTTTAAATCTTGTTCTAAATTATTGACAGCAAAAAGAGGAAGCGATCCAGCTTGAAAAAGAGAGAGAAGTTGCAGAAAAAGAAGCTTTATATCGAGCTCGCATGAGAGAGGAAGCTGAGTCGCTTGCAAGGCAGGAGGCGTATGCAAGAGCTGCTGCCGAGCCAGTCATGATCGACAACACTCCACGACCAATGCCGCCAGAGCTGAATCAAACATTAGAAACAGTTGCCGAGCAAGGAGAAGAAGATGAACCTGCGGCAGAAGGTGGGGATGTTGTGTTTGTTGAACTAATTGTGGTCTTGATGATACAGTGATTGATGTCTTTCACTCTAGATCTGTAACTTGAGTTCATACAGAAGCCCGACTTCTTAGTTTTTACTATGATTTTTCAATGCACGTTTGAGAGGCATTCACCCCCCTGATAATGTTCAAAATGGTGGACATCCAGGGGCTGAATGCCTCTCAAACGTGCACTGGATAGGACCATGGCGTCAGCATTTTGATCATGAATCATGGCATGGCAGCGGTTACTCGAGTCGACCTTCTGTGTGTCTTTATTCTGTGACTTTACACTGATTCTCCAGGGGGGTGCACCCCCTCAGAAAGTTTCCCACCCTCACCAAGTTTCCCACCCTCACCAAGTTTCCCACCTCCACCTAGAGAAATCTCCCCCCCCCCCCACACTAAATAAGACTAAGACAAAACTCAATCTCAAAATTTACTGGGGACTTTGGCCCTTACTCCCAACCTTGTTCCCATTATCGACTGTACCCCTTGACCAAATGGAAATAAGTTAGGGTTAGTTAGGGGTTAGGGTCAAGGTTAGTATTAGGGTTAGGGTTTAGTTTTGCGTTAGGATGGTTTTTTCTATGTTATAAAAATGGAAACCTTATTTTGAAGTATACTATCTAGCAATTACCCTGACTAAATACCCTGACCAAATACCACAGATTTTATCCAGGCATTCGAGCTTTTCCAGACCTTATTGTCATTCACTTTTATTTTCAACAGCAAACAGGGGGCAAAAAGACGCAACAAATGCCGACCCTGAGACAACAGAAAGTCAAGCAGAAACTGGAGAAAGTCAAGCAGAACAACCTCCTCCCCAGGGTAAAAACATTGATTACAAATATTTGTTATTTGCATTAACCCAGTAAGTGCCAGCACTCTCTCCCCTTGACGAGTAAAATTGTCTGGCGTTAGACAGAGTTAAAATAATAAAGTAGGGTGGGTTACAGTTGATTTCATATAACTTTTCCCTGAATGTTGCAAACTTCATTCAGGACTTTGTTGTGAAGTTCAAAAGTTCATACTGAAATTTACAAGCCGGTTTGTAAACAAAGCCTCTGATTGGTCCCTGAACAAAAAAATAAGCCAATCAGAGGCCTTGTTTACAAACCGGCTTGTGAATTTTTGAACTTCACAACAAAGTTCGGAACGAAGTTCGCAACATTCTGGGAAAAGTTGTGTGAAATCAGCTGTAAATGGGTTAAACTATTTAGGGGTAAATAGTATTTATGTAAATGGTATTTAAATGGTAAATGGTATTTACTTTTTCTTTTTATTTATGGGTTTAACTATTTAATTAAACTATTTATTTTTTTATTTATATTTGTCTAAATCTATATCAAAACTATTTAGGATGGACTAATTAAAGTCTGCTTTACACTATTAAAGTTTCTCTGATCACAGTAGGAATTTTGCATCAGTAAATTCTAAGTTTTGAAGGATTTGTAAAAAATGTTTGAAGGAATTGACTGACATTGTTAAACAGTAAGTAAATTCCCTCAAACATTTCTTACAAATCCTTCAAAAGTTAGAATTTACCTTTGCAAAATTCCTACTGTGATCACAGAAACTTTGATAGTGTACTACCAGGCTTAACATGCATATCCTTTACAGAAGGCTCATTAACTCAGATTCTTGAAGAAGCCAGTGAACCAGTGGCTGATGGGACGGATGAAAGGCCTGACGGGACGGACGAAAGGCCTGATGGGACAGACGAAGTGCCTGATGGGAATGACGAAGTCGCTGATGGAAACGATCAGGACACCGCTGAAGATCAATCATGAGAAATATAAGATAATGAATCACAAAAAAAATTTAGTAATACTTCAGTGTTGTGTTTGTACATTTATTTATTCGCTGTTAAATACAAGTGCATCTATATGACTATATTGTTACGTTGCTAATCTGAAAATTGTCAGAATTCGTATATTTTATAATAAAAAATGTACAATGTGGTAATAAAGAGTGAAGTTTTGGCCTGTTTCTTTAACACTTGAAATGGAGTGCAGTCAAAAATTCAGCGTTTTCTCAATTCCGTTTAGCTGAGCGACTTCCCAATTTAGATATCCCAAAAATAACGTATTAATATATACAAATAGTATTAATAACAAAAATGACCATTATGAAAAACAATTTAAATATATAATACTTTTTGTATATATAATACTTTTTGTGTACCAACACAGCAAATTACTACGTAAATTTATTACTGCAAAGGACGCAAAGCTTTCGATCCGTAAGCCCGGATCTTCATCAGTACATGCTAATATAATATGACTAATATACAAAGAACTTAGTGGTTTAAATCTATGTGTTTAGACCTAATTTTACACAATAGATCTAAAATTATATATAATCTTCCACTCAAAATTGTTATCTACAAAAAAACCCTTTCAACCAAGTGTTGCTATAAATGTCCACACAAAACAACGTGGTTTGCCAGGCCTGCTGTTGTTGAAAGTAGCGAAACCCTGATTGTAGCGAGATCAAAGAGCGAGCGACCATTAGGACCACTGATTTTCGCTAATAGCATCACAGACACGCTGAGCCATCAGCAACATTGTATATAGACACCCCGGGTAGGCTTGCTCACCGGGTTAGCCCGGCATGGTACTACCCGGGAGCCAGGCAGGATCAACTTTATTTTGCCCATGCGATGTTTTGCCAATCAGTGGAGCTCTGGGTGTGTTTCAATATGAAGCACTATCGTACAGCATCTGGTGGTGAACCTGCTGTTATCAGAGTGAGAAAATAATGTTCATTCTTCTCATTATATGTAGTATTTTATTGTATTTGATGACAAATCGATAGAATTGAAAGTCTTGCTCTATTTTTGTTTTTCCCAATGCATTGTTTTGCCAATCAATATAGCTATATGTTGCAAAGTCCTGCTGTTTTAAAACTGTGTCAGCAGCGTTAGTAACAGTGTTTCTAAATAGCCGTAACACAGTATGACGCGAAACTATGTACTATATTTAATTTCACATAACCATGTTAATTAATGTTGTATTTTTATACCGCCTTACTTTGGGTGTGACTCAGTTAGCGTCACAAGGCAGCAGATGTTGGTCAACTTTATAGAAATGTTTTGACAGGAGGAAGAAAATTAAACTACATTTCTCAATAGGCAATTCCAGCTTTTAGTTTATGCGTGCAGGGGACGATGGGAAGTAAGCATAGATATCTTATATACACTAGATAGTGCATCTCTTTTAGTAAAATTGAAGCCAAGAATATTCCAGCGGTTACCCCCATTTGAATAGATGGCGGCCATGTTGGTCGTTCCCACTTGCTAATAAACGCTTAAAAACAACAATAACTTTCATCATTTGAATAGTTTGAAAATGTATTTGGAATAAGTTTAACTTAATGTTTAAGTTCCCTGTTGAAGAAATAGAAAACATACGAATCTTCTCATTTCATGGGAACGACCTGAGACTGCAATCACGGCTTCAATTTTTGAATTGCAGAATAATTAGATGCACTATCTAGTGTGTATAAGATATCTATGGAAGTAAGGTATCACATTGCTGATTATGCTGAAAAAATAAAAATGGTGGCCGTGTAAACACGGAGTGATAGCTTATACTTGTAAATATTGAAATATTTCGGTTGTTTCGGTAGTTTTTATTGAAATTTTTCAGCATAATCAGCAATATGATACCTTACTTCCCATCATTCCCTGTAGGCATAAACTAAAAGCTGGAATAGCCTATTCTATTTAGTTTTCTTCCAAATACAAGACTACAACATAAAATGAAAAGAATGAACATTATTTTCTCACTCTGATAACTGCAGGTTGACCATCATCTGCTGCATGAAACTCCTTAGTGAAACCTTCTGCAATCAGTTTCAAATCTCTTGGGACATATCCCACAAAAACCTTTAATTTCAATAAACGTCAATCACCCCCGCCCCCTATTCAATCTTGTGTGCCATTTCTCGTCAGATTTGATGTGTTTTGGTTTAAGCAACATTGATTGGGGGAGAGGGAGTGGTATTGTGGGTAACAAACTGTAATGATCCACTTACAATCTAAGTAAAACTACATGTGTCCCAACAACTTTTGAAAGTGATTTCAGCCTACGATCACCAAGCTTGAGGAACTAAATCATAAAATTTGGAATCTGTTTAGGATAACTGTATGGTGATGAAAAATGAATCCTCCAGAATTGGAAACTTTTCAGTGCGATAGTTTTTGTGGACAACTCATCTAGGTATGTTAACCGGTTACTCCAAAAGCTTCAAGGTCAAAAAGAAATCTATTTACGCGCAGGCCCGCCGAGAAGGGGACATTTTGCCCTGTGTTCACAGCTCAAAATGGGCCCCCAAGCAACGAAGGCTATTAAAAATCTTTCTACAAGATTGCGAAACTGAGAATATAAACCCTAGCTTCGTTAGTGCCAGGTAATATGCAATAAAGTGTAATATATTGTAAAACACCGGTTCTCCCGTTTTACAATTATGACGTCATAGGGCCCTGCCGTGCGAAAGCTTTGCCCCAGGCCTCGCGCAACCTCCGCGGCCCTGTTCGTACGGCAAACATGAGGTTGTTGAGCCACTTTGTCAGAGCGAAATAGCACGTGACTTGATAACCTGAACAAGACGGACAAAACACGTTGTCATGACTGAATAAATAACATTTGTCTTGATGCTCGTGTTTCATGCAATTGAAACATCTTGAAAATGTAAACATGCCGACCTTCTGCTCATCAAAATAGCAAAATAAAGAAAACACCCTCAAGCTTGCTGTTCCAGAATCATCTAGAGATAAGAACGACACGTCGCGAATTACAGGGGGGAGGGCAGGAAAATTCAACAACGTTTTGGTCCTAAAAATCACTTAGTTTTTTTAACTATTTTTGCTTTAAATTTCATGCAATATATAGCTATAGTTTATTCATAGCCTTACATCTTTGTTACACATTCAAAGGCTTTCTATCATTCGAAGGCTTTCTGAAATTATTGTGGTTGCCCCCCCCCCCCCTACTGATGAATAAAAACTAGACTTGTTTAGTTGAAACGTAGTTTTTGTATAGTTTTTAAAATTTTAGCCTCGATAGTCCCGTTTAGACTAAGATTTTTAAAGATTCAATTAAAGAACATAATTGTCAGAAATAAATTCAACCAATTATGTTGATTGTCATTCTGGATGCTGGCATGAAAACGAGGCTAGGGCTTCAAATTTTGCGAGTATCGACATGAAATTGCAATGTTACTGTTTTCAGTTGTTAAGTCCACTGGGAGAGCACAAATTCAAATCCAGTGCTCAATTTCTCCTTTATCATTGCTGTGGTATAAAATAATGCTTTAAACCCAAGAGCAGAACGATATATAAAATATTCACAACCCATTGATAGTACGATTCAAAACCTTCCCAACTTTAATATTTGAGTCAGAGCGAGCTAAGTGATATGTATCTACATTCATAAATCAACACTGACAGGGAACGAAATTATATTTAAAACATAGAATAGGAGTGTTTGTGTCGTATTCTACCCTGATAAGCTATCGTAGTTTGTATATGATCGACGTGAATACTAAAAAAAAATTCAATACGTTGAACGAATGCGTAAGAACGTGATTAGCAAATGATGTTTTAAAACCTAACAACAAGGCGATACATAAAATATTCACAGCGCCACACAATGGCGTGTCTTGCTCAATGTGATAATTTCGAGCTGACAATCAGCGCTTTCGGATAACGCTATTAATTTACGATTCATCAGCACATCAAAGACACCGGCTCTCCATCAATCTCGCCATGTTTACATAGAATGTCGTATCTTATAAGATATGATCAAACCACATCATCCTTGCTTAAACCTAAACAATTAACTTGGCTATGCCGCACTGTAAACATGATGTGGGTTCCTACTCGAAACTGTCAACACTTTAATTACTTGATAAGTGACGTGCTGCGCTCAAGATAAGCCACTGAACTCGTGGATAGTGTTGTCGAGGCTCGTGGCTAGTGGTATCGAGGCTCGCGACTGCAATGTTGAAGGTTGAACCCCGGAGACTGAGCTCTGGAGCTCTAGAGATTGAACGATGTTGAAGATTGGGCGGTTGAGCCCTGGAGACTGAGCTCTGGAGTTCTAGAGATACAACTTTTTTACAACTTTTTATTAATTAAACTTATTATTAATACAAAAATAACTTAACAAAAAAAATAACCCTGCAGTAGCTACAGATCTAGTCGAGGCAAGGCAAGATAAATACAAAAATAATACAATCATATAAGACAAAAGAAAGAAGTATTTATAATTACAGAAATTATTTATTATTATTTACAAAGAAAATAAAAGCAATTTCAGACTTATTAAGGAAAAATGGAGGAAAATCTAACTATTTATCTCTCGACTATTCTATTTTGAAATAAATTGATAGCTTTAGAAGCTTTGAATGACAACAGAGTTTAATAATTTTTATATAGTTAGTCCTATTTTCTTAATTATCGTGGGGATTTGAATGTAGTCATCTTCTTTTTCCAAAATATCAAAAAGTAGTTGAACGATGTTCAAGATTGAGCCCCGGAGACTGAGCTCTGGAGTTCTAGAGATTGAACGATGTTCAAGATTGAGCCCTGGAGACTGAGCTCTAGAGATTGAACGATGTTGAAGATTGAGCCCCGGAGACTGAGCTCTGGAGTTCTAGAGATTGAACGATGTTCAAGATTGAGGCCCAGAGACTGAGCTCTGGAGTTCTAGAGATTGACCGATGTTGAAGATTGAGCCCCGGAGACTAGAAACTGAAGTCGAGCCAGACTTGTGAGTTATGGTATCAGTCAGGTCAGTAAGTTGGAAGGAATACGCGATGAACAAAAAACGTTATGAGGAACTACACACGTAAAAACGCACAAGTTGTTTACAAGTTCATTGAGCCCCGGAGACTGAGCTCTGGAGTTCTAGAGATTGAACGATGTTCAAGATTGAGCCCTGGAGACTGAGCTCTAGAGATTGAACGATGTTGAAGATTGAGCCCCGGAGACTGAGCTCTGGAGTTCTAGAGATTGAACGATGTTCAAGATTGAGGCCCAGAGACTGAGCTCTGGAGTTCTAGAGATTGACCGATGTTGAAGATTGAGCCCCGGAGACTAGAAACTGAAGTCGAGCCAGACTTGTGAGTTATGGTATCAGTCAGGTCAGTAAGTTGGAAGGAATACGCGATGAACAAAAAACGTTATGAGGAACTACACACGTAAAAACGCACAAGTTGTTTACAAGTTCATTACAACAAGTTCGTATAGCGTCACGAACAGCCTGTATTAGTCATGTTGGAACAACTTGTAGCAAATCTATTACTGTCACCAACCTTGCAACAAAGTGATAACAATTTGTTGTAGACTTGTCACAACAACAGGCAACAAGTAGTGCAAGCACATCCTGAATTCTGATGTCGACCAGACCATATCAGACTTGTTGGAACAAGTTGTTGTTGGCCTCATCAATCTTGTTACAAGATGATAACAACTTGTTCCAGGCTTGTCAAAAACTGACAACAAGGTGAAATATAATAATAGCTAGTGAAACGTCGAGTTTCTGCTTATTTTTTAAGGTAGTAATATAACCACTCAGCACAGCATTTTCACATTGGTACTACCTACACTGGTACAGACAGTTTTAGCAAAGAATTAGAACGTCGTGATATGATGAAACACCGAGAAGAATGAAAAGCAATAGTGAAGATTGATTCTTTAGGAAACATCACATGGTGAACGGAGGAAAGAAAGAGCTATAATAACATCAGTCAAATTGAGGAAGATATATTGGAATAGCAAAGAATTAGAACGTCGTGATATGATGAAAAGAAGAATGAAAAGCAATAGTGAAGATTGATTCTTTAACATCACATGGTGAACGGAGGAAAGAAAGGATATATTGGAATAGCAAAGAATTACTACCTTAAAAATTAAGCAGAAACTCGACGTTTCGAGCGAAGGCCCTTCGTCAAGAGGGGCCGACGAAGGGCCTTCGCTCGAAACGTCGAGTTTCTGCTTATTTTTTAAGGTAGTAATATAACCACTCAGCACAGCATTTGCAGAATTGGAAACGTCGTATAGTGATATGATGAAACATTGAGAAGAATGAAAAGCAATAGTGAAGATTGATTCTTTAGGAAACATCACATGGTGAACGGAGGAAAGAAAGAGCTATAATAACATCAATCAAATTGAGGAAGATATACTGGAATAGCAAAGAATTAGAACGTCGTGACATGATGAAACATCGAGAAGAATGAAAAGCAATAGTGAAGATTGATTCTTTAGGAAACATCACATGGTGGACGGAGGAAAGAAAGAGCTATAATAACATCAAACAAATTGAGGAAGATATACTGGAATAGCAAGGAATTAGAACGTCGTGACATGATGAAACATCGAGAAGAATGAAAAGCAATAGTGAAGATTGATTCTTTAGGAAACATCACATGGTGAACGGAGGAAAGAAAGAGCTATAATAACATCAAACAAATTGAGGAAGATATACTGGAATAGCAAAGAATTAGAACGTCGTGACATGATGAAACATCGAGAAGAATGAAAAGCAATAGTGAAGATTGATTCTTTAGGAAACATCACATGGTGAACGGAGGAAAGAAAGAGCTATAATAACATCAATCAAATTGAGGAAGATATACTGGAATAGCAAAGAATTAGAACGTCGTGACATGATGAAAATTTGAGAACAATAAAAATCAATACTCAGGACTCATTCTTTGGGAAACATCACATGGTGAAAGGAGGGACTGTGAAACTATAATGCCATCAATCAAATCGAGGAAGATATCGGTAGGAAGATGTCGTGGTCACCACGCTTACCTTTCAAGCTGGGAGATCGACCTGGCTTCAATCCTTGGTCGGACCTCTACTCAAGGTCTTAAAATAATTGAGGAGAAATAGCCACCTTTACATTGACATCAGTAAGTGGTTAGACTTTCGCGTCTTCTTGGATAAGGACGTTGAAATCGTAGGTACCACGGATCCCCTATCAATTGGCCAATAGTCTGTTGGGAAAAAATCCGCTCACGAATGAGTGAGAAACTGAATGACCTATCAATGTTTCTGTGATCACAGTAGGAATTTTGGACAGGTAAATTCTAAGTTTTGAAGGATTTGTGAGAAGCGTTTGATGGAACTGACCCACCGTTTAACACTATAAGTCAGTCCCTCAAACATTTCTTACAAATCCTTCAAAACTTAGAATTTACCTATGCAAAATTCCTACTGTGATCACAGCAACTTAGATAGTGTAAACCACTGGTTAGTGTAAACGAATGAGCGATGTCGTGATGATATATCAACTGGGTTCTGATTGCAGTTTCGTTGGCTGCTTCATCTCTGATGATGAAATTTCCTCGCGTTGTTCGTGGGACTGGCTCCTCGAGAAGAACCCTCGATCCTCGCCATCCTCCACGCAAAATGTTATCGATAAGGCTTGCAGAACACAAGGGAGATTCAGGTTGAGATGCGACAGACGGTCATTGGCCAGGCTATAATCCCTTGTCAATCACACGGCAGGCGTTATTAAAAACAAACACAGAGTATTGTCTTTAATTGTTTCAGCCTTTCATCGCTAATCTATAATTGTTTTCAACAGCCTGTCAAATTTTAATGCTATATGCATGAGAAGAGTCTGCGACACGCAGACAGGATCAAAGTGATTACTTTTGAAGCAACGACGCGTTAATACATAAACATTTTGAAAAATAAAACCCGAATTACGCACATAATACGTACAAGACACATCCTTTTAGACGCGATAAACCCTATTACGTTTCGGAAATGATACATAATAACGAGGGCGAAAAGTAGCGATTTTCTTTCACAACTTATTATTTAGGCAAACTAAACAAGCCCAACAATGACAGGATGAAACATGTATATATCGTCTGTTTAAAATTAAATTGCGTTTGGATATGTCGTAAAAAATTAAATTGATTTCTGTAGCTAAACGCTAAATCGAACTAGTTCTCCGATATTCAGTTGGAATAAAACCTTTCACTCTTTTTTGGCTTCCGATTTATCTTCTGTTGCAAAGGTTTGCTAATGTTTTAATAATAAGTTGCCGTGTCCACTCTGAAAAAGATTGAAACGATTTGAAAGTTTATCGCAAAAGCACTACTGCGGAAATAGCTGTTCTCCTATCGCGCTTTACACTAATATCTCAAATCGAAATCTCAATGCATACGAGAGCGCGCGAAGCCAAAGAGAGATTATCTAATCTTGCTTGTTGTCAAAACTTCAGACGATTGTCGCCAGAATTCTCTAAATTTCCTTTATCTAGCCCAAATAAATGTCATAAGGATTTGTTTGACGAGTTTATGAAACTGCGCTTCGCGCGGCGAGCTTGAAACAGAGCTACTGGACAAATAAACTTATTTCTCGCGACATAACATTTGTACAGCTGCTATACACAAAACTAAATATTAAAACACCTTGAGAAATATCTCTCGTTTCGCTCAGAAATTAGACTCCATACATGGTCTGTTTCGAGACTCGATTTCATTATTTCAACTCTATTTCATGCTAGACAATCTGAAATAGTATCGAAATATGGCCTTTGAAGAACTCGCAAATTTAAACAGGATGTTGACAAGATGATATTTTTAGAAATAGACCCGAAATATCACACGAAATATTGTGTTTTGTTTTCAACTCTTGAGTGAACGGGGTAATACCGTATTTCAAGTGCTTTTTCCTTTCATATTATCTCTCAGTTTTGTTAAAAATTAGCTTCGGGGCCTGCCCACTGCTGCGCGCTGCGACTTATATTTGTAAACGCAAATTGGCAATAAAAGCTGAGCGGAATTTTTAGGTTGATCTAAGGAAGGACTACAGGCGCCATTCTGATCATTATCTTTTTTGATAGACATGTTATTAAATCGCAAACTAATTAAGCTTTCTACGATAAATCCGCTTTAGCTTCCCACCGTCAAAATACACGCATTTGGGGAAAATAATTTTAGACCTAAGTTAGGTTTGTAGCTTTTGTGATACGCGTGTAGATTTTGGTTTAGGATTTCGAGCTATCGTGGTCGCTTGAGCGACGAAGGTTTGGAGTATTTTTAATTTCGTATTTCTTCTGGCATTTTATTATCATATTTGACACAAATGTCCGTGCTGTCATCGCGAGGGCTTATCTCATTCATTTAGCGCTGTTGGTGTGAGATTTGATTGATAGCTCGACGAGATAGCATTGATAGCTGTCAAGTGATCAAAGACGCCGCGCATTCAGCATCGCAATAAGCTGAGAGTGTCCTTGAGACGAGATGCGTGGGGCCTCGAGTCCGCACGAAGCTCGTGAGAGCTCAGCACTGCTGTGCTAAGGCGCAGTTCTAGTCGCGTACGAGGGGATTTGAACGTCGCCGCGCGCGTAAAACTCCATAGACAAGTTTGTTAATACGTCCTCAACACCTTCAACCCAAACAAAAGAGTGACAAAATGATGTTGAATAAGATTGACGTTTTGATTGATTCATTCGGCCATTATGACACGGCAAGCGAACGCACACTTAATTACCTTGGCTGTGATGATTGGTTGTTGAAATAGCCATCAATCAAACCCCGCTATCTGCAATTACATCTTCCCCCTCCCCGCTGGGTTGATTATCCAATAAAGAGGCAAAATATCGACAAAGATGAATTTTGATTGGAAGGCGGCATCAGTCTGTAATCTCTTGTGTGTAAGTGTGGGTCACATTGTCTCGTGGCGGTGCAATAGACAAGCTGTATTTAATATTTCACATAACCTACCGCATTCACAAACGACTTCACTGCCAGAGCCGTGCGCAGCGCGCTAGAATGATTGATATTCAGCCGGCAATTCAACTCACACCCAAGACGTCAGCCATCCACGATTCCTCAAGAGACCGTGCTCCACTTCACGAACTACAAATGCTAACACAAAGCGTGGCCAGTCGAGAATACGTTCATGCGTATACTCCTATCTCGGTAAGAATCAAGACTCTATCAATAATAATTTTATACACAATCTCTTGCTATCTGCTTTTCACAGGCACTCTCGCAAGGCGCGCCCATGTTTATATTCGTATGTATGCGCGCAGATAACCTTGATAGCACAGTGCTAGACACAGAAGCGCGATATTTTATCTCAATGCTCTCTTCTCTCGAACAGGAATCAGGCGATCAACAGAAGAAATCACCTCTGGCTCTGCTAGCTGCGACGTGCAGCAGCATTGGCAAGACGGAAGGCAAGAAGGAAAGCCGTGAGCCCGTGATTAACACGGCCAGACTTTCGCCCAAGATTTCTAGCAGTCTAAACGATGTTCGAAGCGCGGTTAAACTAAACTCGGACGAAAAATCTTCGTTTAAACCGTACAAACAAATTGAGGAGAAGGAAGTTATTCACAGTACGGAAAAGCCAGGTTTCCGTGTGCCCAGTAAGGACACAACGAGTGATGTTGTCTCGCGGAATAAAAGTCCTGAATTTCGAAGCAAAGTTTCACCGCATATCGGGTCAAGCTTTTCGCCATTTCAATATCCGTACTTAACAGACGCTAGCGGACATTGTTTTTATCAAGGATCGCCTGCCAGTCGGCTGTGTGGGATGTATTACGATATGCCAGGACACAGCACTTCAAGTCATCATGCAACGTGTCTCAAGTCTGATTGTACTGGGAACTGTAGTTCTATGGTGCTGCCCTCACCAACCTCGCTTGCACCCACAACACCTAGTATACGACCCATGTTCCCTACTCCTCCAGTCACGGCACCGTCTCCGGTGAAATCTCATGGCCTTAGCCCTACCTCGGCTAGATCGAGCTCTTTATACCCTAGATGTAACTGTGGCTATTGTAACCAGGGACAAGAGAGTAGCCTTAAACAAGCAATGCAACATCTACCACACTATCATAGAGATTATCTAACCAGCGCCTGCCAGGATCCTTATTGCACGAACTGTAAAACACCCAAGACTTCAACTTCGGCGACTAGCCATGGTTGTGGACCACACTGCTACGGCCATCATCATCACGATTCGTCTTCGCTCCTGTCTGGATCTTTATCAACTGTTCCACCAAGCATGTCACATTTATACCCTTATGCCGGCTTCATGCTTCGAGCTCAGAACGATCAAAATGGTCCTTTCGTTTGTAATTGGGTCCAAGACTCGAAAAACTGTGGAAAGAGCTTTACAACCTCTGAGGAACTATTGCAACATCTACGGACTCATACAAGCGCTGCTAATGCGTCTATAACACCCTTACATACACCCTGCAACATCCCTGGTTGTCCATGTGGGTTAAAATCCGCGATGTCTGGGCCAACAAGACTGCATTCTACGGCTCGATATCATCCCTACTTTATGCCAAGTCCAGCAATGCATTCCCCTTCATTTCATCCAGCAATCTCACATTATTCAAGTCCTCATGGCATCCCTTATCCTTCGTCTCTTAAGCCGTATTAATGGTGATTAAATATAGACAGCGAATCCGAAAATAGCTTCATATTCAATTTGCCCTCAAGTTGTACGTTTACATTCTCTCATTAACGAAATGGGATTTCATCTCTTCGAGTGATGGAGCCGTATTAGGACACATTGACGTTAGCGTTAAGTTAATTTTATGGAATCGGCCATGTGGCTACTAAAACTAAGACAACGGCGCGAAAAAGCACCTATCCGATACGGAATGCACAACTTTCAGAAGCTGAGCGAAACAGCATCTCACTGTTTCAATAATTCATCTGAAAATTGCGTTGCTAAAACTAAAAGATACGGATAGGGGTTTTCTTCACGTCGCTATTCAGTACAGTGTAAACCCAGCCTAATATTGCAGTTGGGTCCATTGTAGGTAGTATTCATTCTGTCGTGGTTTGTGTTTGAACTGCCTGACGGAGACAAAAACGCTTGGGCGTCTTATACTCAAAGGGCTTTCGCTGGAAAACCGAAGTGTTTTGATCTTTTCAGGCAGTTCAAACTTGTATGAATCACTTGATTTCTAAACCTGAGGATCGCGCGTGTGGATTATAGTATTATAAAATTTAAAACATGTAAATTTGTGTGAATGTCTGAAGGAAATTAGCTCGGATTATCACATTTGCCGAAGCGACAGTTTAACATGGATTGTAAATATTGCAAAGTTAACAAAGGGATGCCGAAAGGCACGTTTATTATTAAAATAAATTGAAATTTGAAAGTGCTGTATGTTTTTTTAAGATACTATTCAATTTAGCCGTTCCAGTGTTGGTTATAAATTACGCTACATTAAATGCATATATCACAGATGAAGTGCTAGAAAGCCCAATTTGGCTTGTTTAAAAAAAGCTATGTCAGTTTTGTCTACGAAAGGCGTTTTTTATTCATATATAGTTTTGTTTTAAAATTTTCATCTTGTTAACCCAGCTTGCAGTTTTAAATAAGATGGCGCCCATTCATTTTATTTTATCATGCGGTTTTAAGCGAGGCTTATCATTCTGTCTCTATAAAGAACTCGATGTCTTTTGCATTTACTGACAACGATCTAAGATAACGCTGAAACTGATATATATATGGAAGTTTGTTTAGGTCGGCAGAAGACACACACAGACTATTTCATTCGACACCTCGCGTTAGTGAGAAGTTGTTAAAAAGTCAATCATTCAACGCTGTTTGACATCCCTCCTTAAATCTTGCCGACGCAAACGTCACGAGTGCGTTCAAAACCATTCAATAAATTGCTTATTCCTTGCGATTGCTATAGCAATTTATCAAAATTGATGGCTTTGTGTCCAACACTTTTAGATTATGATGTTAAAAGGAGCTCATGCGTGTAAGACTCACCAGCTGTCGAGCTTGCAAAAACCATTCAATAAATTGCCTAAATTTCTTTAGATTTACACACGTAATACCCAGTCTATCAAAATTGATGGAGTTATAACTATTTGTTGTGGGTTAAAAATTATTAATTTTCCCGCATTTTCCTTTTGATTAAGTTTAACCAATTTATCAAAATTGATGGTTATATGCTTTGAAGATGTATACAGTGGGTTTAAGATGTCATAATTAGAATTTAAAATGATATATCTCTCAGTGAAAAGCACATGCAATCTCGGCTTAAACAGTAATCTTTTTTATATGGTCTGCTTAAAAATTTGAAAATTTTGATGCTAAGCCTGAGGAATTTTTGATTATGAATGGTGAAAATTGATAGGTTGATAAATTGAATAGTTCAATGATCATTTCATCCTTTGTAGATTAAAGAGAAGAATTCATCAATTACTCTGTCTCTGATCAGGGACAGGGTTTATATCAGGTATAACTTAAAACGACATATATCGAATACTGACAATGCTAGTCCCAATATTCCATAGCATGAAAAATATTTCTCAGGTATCAGGGTCGAGAAGGCTCATGCATGGTGCTTGGAATGATTGTATCATATCGGTTACAAGTCACAGGAGTTTGTCGCGTGCGTTAAATCTGGATTTGAATTTGTGATCTCCCAGTTAGATAGTACCACACTGAAATATTTAAAGGGCCTCTTTTAAGAATTCGTCAGCAGAGGGGCCATCGAGGAGGGGGTGGTGAACTGGACTTTTTGGGGGGTCCAGCTCCCAGAAAAGTTTGTATTTTTGAGACTGCAATCGTGGTTTATCTCTGTGAGAGTTTAAATTGTAGTTTGATTCCTGTATCTCACCTATAAAAGTACCCCCCTTCCCCCAAGAGACAATGTTGTTGAATATTGCGTTTAAAATGTGGAGAAAATGCTAGCAACATTGGTTGGGGGGAGCGGGAAGCAAAAGCCGAAGTAAAAGTTGAATACATTTTTCTAAAATTTGATCCTAACAGTTTTGTCCACGATGTGGTTATTTGGATGAAACTGATATATGAAATCTAAGATCTAGTAGTGATATAACTATACCTATATACACATTCATGGCTGTGTGGCCGACTCTTCGCCGACCCAAGATTATTCCTAAGACTAGTTTATTTTCACTGAGGATACCATTTGACCTAGGGCTAAAGAGTAGGCTAGACTATCAAGGCTTAGTTAGTCTTGAGAAAGTGTTAATCCATTGTTCCATTGCCTCGAACTGTGACGGCGCTTAGTCTTGCTGATTTTTTATTAACGCGGTTTAAAAGGCGGCATATCTTCTTTCTGCCCATAACCCTGTCACTCACGGAGAGAAATTCATATAAGCACTTGTCTATAAATGTTGCCACTTATTATTAGCATGGCAAACATGCAAACATCTCACAATTCTAATTACTTGTGACGGAGTTGCTAGCAACAAAACCGGAGAGAAAAAAGATCCTTTATTCCACGTTTCATTTGACACAAAACGCTTTTGTCTCGAGCTTCCCACCTCTCTAAGCGACTGCTCACAAATCTATTAAACAACTCGGTCGGGAAGATAAGTTTTAATTATTTTTGCCCTCCATTTGAAAAGCTCAATAACACCAACAGCTGAATAAGCGCATACGGGCTGCTTGTATGAACCGTAGGACACAACGTGTTTCACAACAGGAACGCGAGACCGCCTGCCAAGCCAAGGATAAACATTATCTTTATGTTTACTAAAGCTGTAGGATTGATGGGAATATGTCTATTGTCTAGCGTACGAAATTAGAAACTTTGAAAGATTGGCTATTTTAGTCTATTAATGTTCCGACGAGGGGCTTCGCTCAAAACGTCGAAGTTCTCCTTGTATTTTTCACGTAGTTGCAGCTTTCATATTTTGGGGAGGGCGACCAAAGCGACGTGGGTGCATAACACATCTAAAGGATCTGGGGGCATACCCCTCAGAAGATTTTGAAATCTAGACGCTTCATGCATTTTGGAGTGCTGTTTTGCAAAACATTTGACAATAAGGCTGCGTTTATACTCTATCAGATAGCTTTGCGTAGCGACGTGAAAAAAACACCTATTCGTACCTTTTAGGAACGCTATTTTCAGAGGAATTATTGCAACGGAGAGATGTTGTTTCGCTCAGCTTCTGAAAATTGTACATTCCGTATCGGAAAGGTGGTTTTTTTGCGCCGCTACAGAAAAGCTATCTGGTATAATGTAAATGTAGCATGCAGCCCTTGCTCAACTCAAGTTTACGAATTGCAACATAAAACGTAATTATATTTGTACTGAATGATATGACATTATAATAAATCGAATATAGTCCTTTAAAATCCGCGTCAATCATCGCTGTATGTTTTTTTCCGCTTTATTTCACTCTCATTTTAATATCCAAACTAAACCACAATCGCGGTGCTAGTAGTAAAAAGGATAATCCTCTTGTGAAATTAATAAATATACAATAAATCCGATTTCTCGTAATTATATTATCGACTTGGTGACGCATTAGATTCTAATTCCCTGATAAGCCAATTCCAGAAGATCTAAATTCACTCAAAATTGGGATGAAAAACTAATGATGGTAATATTGAATCCCGCTTCTCTGGCGGGCTTGAGTCATGCCTTTGATTAGTGTAATATGTTGTTTCTTAATGATTTTTTCAACACTGTAACTTATAAAAGACCAAGCTGTCAGTCAAAATGTGGTGTTGTTTTAATATGAAAGAACAGGCGAAAAAATAATTGCGCAAGGTGTTAACAGCGTCACAGTCAGGTGTCACAGATTGGCGTCAACTTTCAACAAGTTATTGCCATTTCCGCAAATGGTATGCTTGATAAATTTGTTGTTGTAGCTACGAGTTGATTTTGCCAACTTTTGAAAATATGATCGCCAAATGTGGATATTAGGAAACTGGTCACATCAGCCGGGACGAATCGTGTTCACGCGAACATTTTTTTCCTAACCATAAAAGAACGCTTGACTGAACTTTATACTGGTATTGGGATCTTTTGCTAAGCTAATTCAACTTCGAAATGTCATTTTGAATGTTTATCAAAGCCGTACGTGATAAGGCCACATAAAAAAATAGTTGGTTAGCGTCCTCACCCGCCCACAAAAAAGGCCCCGCTCAGGATTTTTTAAAATTTTTTATTTAAAAAAAACTCAACTTTTATTGATCAACGGGCTCTAATATATGTAGTATTTCTGTTGACTGTAGTCAATTGTGTTAATAAATTGGAAAATTGCGTGCGAAAATGACGGTATGAATCATATTTTGAAATATATAAAAAAATATCTGTACTGCGCAAGAAAATCCAGTTTCGGGCCTAAAACCAAGGCGACTTTTTGGCAAAAGCTAAGGACGCTAACCAACTATTATTTTTTTTATGTGGCCTAACTGATAAGAACTTTTGAACGACTCCTTAGGTTAGGATTATATATAGGATAGAGTAACGCCTGTATTCTAAAAGCACACTCATTGAGTGGAGGTTCAATCTGAGCTTCCCTTGACTGTTAATGCTGTTTTTGAATAGCTGGAGGGTGAGTAGTCACCAGTGGTAGTTGCATAGATTAGTAAGGAATGACACTAACCCTCCAGCTATTCAAAAACAGCATTCGGACAGTTTGACACTCAAGGGAAGCTCAGATTGAACCTCCGAGGGGTAAATTACTCTGAAAATCTTCGTACACTTCATCAAAAATCCCAAAAAATCTTTGGAAAAATCCCAAAATCTTACTAAATCCCAGAATCCCCAAATCCCAAGAAATCTTAAAAATCGCATAAAGTCCAATAAAATCCTCAAAATTATTGCAATATTGAGAAATTGCATTAAATTTAAACATTTAAATCGTGAATTGGCGTGAAAATGGCCTTTGTTGATTTTATACTTCGTCTCAAAAATAATTCGACGGATTATATGTCGCAACAAATTTCGGAAAAAGTTGGGCGAAAAAAATAAGGGGAAATATTTCGAAAAAATCAGCTGAAAAAATCTCTTAAATTTCAGGAAAAAATCCCAGAATCCCGAGAAAAATGGCCAGGATTTTCTAATCCCAAAAATCTTCGTACGCTTTTTTCAGAGTAATTTACCCCTCGGATTGAACCTCCACTCGTTGAGTGTGAGTGAGCTTTTAGAATACAGGCATAAGTCTTCCTTCATAGGTATGTTGCCTTAAAACACGATTCCACAATTAGCTGCCGTGGTGTGTCTGACTGTCCAGTGAGCTCCAGCGCTCTCCCCTTGACAAATAATTGGCGTTAGACAGAGTAAAATAATGAAGTATAGGGGTGTAATGCAACTTAGGGGTGGACCATTAGAAAAGTGATGGGATGGGGGAAGCAAAAATAAAAATCGCGCAGGGGAAACAGAAAAAAAAATTCGTGAACCAAGAAAGTTTGAAAAAAAAATTCGTGCGGAGACGTTTCAATGGGGAAAATTATAAGTTAAAATAAAAAAGACTTTTCAATAGGGAAAATTATAAGTTGAAATAAAAAAGACTTTTCAATAGGGAAAATTATAAGTTGAAATAAAAAAGACTTTTCAATAGGGAAAATTAGAAGTTGAGATAAAAAAGACTTTTCAATAGGGAAAATTATAAGTTGAAATAAAAAAGACTTTTCAATAGGGAAAATTATAAGTTGAGATAAAAAAGACTTTTCAATAGGGAAAATTATAAGTTGAGATAAAAAAGACTTCAATAGGGAAAATTATAAGTTGAAATAAAAAAGACTTCAATAGGGAAAATTATAAGTTGAAATAAAAAAGACTTTTCAATAGGGAAAATTATAAGTTGAAATTGAAAAAATTATAGACATGAGCAAAAAATTTTACAAAAATATTCGTAGAAGTTAAAAAGCCCCCCTCCCCATCACTTTTCTAATGGTCCACCCCTTAATGGATTAACCATAATTTGACATTTAACACATGCTTGAATGATGAGACTCATGCAAAACAAGCAATATTGGAACACATGGATTTTTATCAATTTCGATTGTTTTTAATTAGAAACTAACGTTTTACACACTTAGTACTACAGTAATATCTATATACATAAATTAACTATGGTTTAGTACTACAGTAATATCTATATACATAAATTAACTATGGATATTAATAAGTCCTGTTCATAATTTCACAAAGTTTTTTCGGCTTAGGATGCAACTTTTTCCAACTTAGGATGCAACTTTTTCCAACTTTTTAAATCGCACCTCTAAATGAAACATAATAAAGTTTGTTAGCCAAGAGATACTGTCAGTCAGTTAACCTGAATAAACGCCTGTTCGCAGGCTATCAGTCAGTCAGTTAACCTGAATAAACACCTGTTCGCAGGCTATCAGTCAAGTCAGTTAACCTGAATAAACGCCTGTTCGCAGGCTATCAGTCAGTTGGCCAGTCAATCTGCAGAAAAAGGAAACAAGGCACATGGGAACACAGCCCCCTCCCTGAGAGACCCTTATCAGTCAATCAGTAGTTGACTTATCAGCCAGTTAGATGGTGAGACAGTCAAACACCATAGTTGGAGAGTTTATCGTACCTAATTCTTTGGAATATGTATCGAGTTTGTATGCAGCTTCCTCCAGACTTGTGACACTTGCATCTACCTTGTCGATCATTTCCAGATATGGTTTTAGTTTCTCATCTAGAATGGGAAAAATTAATTAAAATATAATTAAATTAATATAATACATTAAGCCATTGAGCACCAGCACTCTCCCCTTGATGAGTAAAATGTCATCCAAAACACAAGCATTTGATTGGCTTCGCTATTTCCATTTTGCAACAGAGTAGAACAAATACAACTACCCGGCGAAGAGAAATATGTCGCAGAGAAACACTCTAAAATCATGTTGCGCATGCGTTCAACCTTTTTGTGCAAAATTTTTCGCATTTCGCTTGTCGTGAAATTAGGCCTTTAATTAAAGGGTTAATATATATTAATTAGCATAATTAACACATTCATGTGTAATATTCTGCTATGGACCAGGAAAATCGGCTCGCATTGCTGCACTGCACTTGGAGTAAGGTGGGACAAGTCTGGATGCACTACCAGAGGTATGCCTCTCATTACGCATATACTTACATTTCTCGTTAATTTGCTCCATTCTTGTTATCAGACCTTTTGTAACATTATCCATCTCAACGTATTTCTGTTTCGTTAACTGATTCAGTTTTTCTAACAATTCATAATCATCCAGAGAAGCTAAAGACAAGGAACAATATAGACTTGGGCATGATGGCAGCAGTGGTTTGCCTTCGACTTCTTCGTCCTGGCTAGTTCTTCGATTCCTCTATTAAATGCTCTAATATACAGCAGTCTGACTATAATTTCTTTCCTCACATACCAACAATCGCCTCTTGTTGGGCCTATAGCTCTAAGATTTTAATAGAACTCAACTGATTCAGCTATTCAGTATAAATAAAGTTTAGTTGGATTTCCTCCTGTAGTATTAACACAACATCAATAAGTGGAGTTCTATAGGAAGAACAGTTTAGAACTGATAGAGCTATCCAGTATAAATAAAGTTAGTTTAGCATAATTACGCACTACTAACCATTGAGTTCACATTGCAAATATTCAGTAATCTTTTTAAACATATTTTGACAAGATTCATCTAAGCTAGCTGGCTCAATAATTTCTTCACTCGTCGAACTTGGTTTTCCCGATTCTTGAATAGCATCAGCCGCTGTTTCGGCTGAACTACTTTCTGTAGCTGAACTGCTAGAGCTTGCTTCTTGTTCAGGAAATTCTGGGGCAGTTTCAGCCATAATTTCTGCGTAATTTTTGCGAAAAAAGTTGAAAATTTAACTCCCAATTTTTTACATTTTGGAATAGAATTTTAATCAGTTTTGTTTTGTTGCCCAAATACTTCATTTAGCAGTAGTTGAAATGTTTCGTTCCAATCTGTTCCAATGCTTGTGGGAGGGCTGTGGATGTTTAAAGGATAACTGTAAATTCACTGCGCATGCGTTAATTTGCACAACATAAATATAGAAGGTTTTGTTCGTGATATTTGTATTTGACTTTGCTAAACATTGAATATATCGTATAGTTATAGAATTATAAGTACGGACACTTATCAAAATACTTTAAATATAATCACATATACGTGTGTTGTGTTTGACTTTTAATTAATACATGTATCTTTATATAAACTATTCACACAAAATACCCTTTGGCTTTGCAAAAGTGAAGACTGATTTGTACTAGCAACAGATCATTACCCATCAATATGTTTGTATGTGTAGACAAACTATACCCGACTTCACTTGACAGATTGTCTGTTTTGACATTCGCACAGAACAAACTACTCTTCTTTGCCTATAAAATGATTGTTGAGTCGATTTATGTTACTACAGTGTATAGGACAACCATAAGGCTTTCTCCTGTGCTACTGCAAAGGGCATTAAATTTTAGCCTATCGTGATTGACTACAATTAAGTATATAATTCTCCTACAACCTTGCTCTATTAAAGTAAAAGTCCAAAATTATATTATGCACGTTTAGTGCAATTACACTATGTACAGTATTTACTCCCAAAGCCAGATTCTCTCAGCAAAACATGCTAGAATGCAAGGCTTCCACTCGAAATGGACGTTGCTTTTCACGCTCCTAAAAAAATCAATGCATCACAAATTGAGAAAAAGACCATGGGGAAAAGCGGGAAATACATAGGAAAAGTTGTAAAACTATTAAAACATTGTTTCATAACTTACTTTCTCACAGCGTAACTGCTCATATTCAGGGTTATCTGTGGGCAGCTCATGGCGACAAACTGGACATGAATTTGTCTGGTAAAAAAGACAAGGGAAGAGAGTTTAAATGTGATTGGTTACTCGAGTTTTGGGATCAACTGAAGTGTATACGACCTTCACATCCTTTGACAAGTATTAAAATCGTCTGGTATTAGTTGGTAAAATAAGTATTAGGGCACAATGCAACTTAATGGGTTAAAAAGTTTCTTTCATCTTTGTCCTGGGATGGTCCAACCACAAAGAAAATTTTCCCCACATATATGGATGAAATGGGATAGTTACGAAAGGTCGAGATTTTTCTGCAATGCAAAGTAATTAACAGATTCAAAGGTCTAAATTCAGAGCTCCATTACCTGTTTTAGCCAAGACAGAATGCAGTATTCATGAAACTTATGCTTGCAAGGCAGTTCAATGTATATTTCTGTATTCTAGAAGTAACAAAGAAAGTAGATATGAGAAAAGCAGGAAGATTTGCAGCTAGTATGTTAACTTATCAATGATCTCAGATACCTCGTACGTTTCCAAACAAACTGGACAAGACGCCTTTCCTGTAAAAAATGTAGCGAATTATTTTGCAACATTGCTGGTGGTTATACATTGCGTTGTTCCAGAAATTATCCACACCCCGCCCACAGAGGAAATTTCTGCTGTTTGGAGGAGGAGGGAAGAAAAATGTGTTTGAGTTTCTGATAATAATAAGTGTACTAGGACATCTGAATGGGGTAGGGGCGGTTAACTTCCAATTTCCTCTGTGGGAGGGGGTAATAGGTGTTTTTCGGAATGACCCATTCCACCTCTCTGACTGGAGTTAGATTTGTGACTATCTGTTCTAAACAGTTCTCCCTAGATCTCACACTGAGGTCAAATTATACTATTGCACTGGGACTGGGGGGGGGGGAGCCAAGGAGACCAC